GGAAATTAAGGACATTTTGCAGATTTGAACACAGTTTCTCTGTATTTCACTGAATGACAAACCTTTGGCAAACCATTGTCAATAGTTCATTTCGTTAGTGTCTTCTGATGAGTGATGTGACTCCACCACCCAGTATTTAGTGGATCCAGGGGCACCGCCTGCATGATGGTGTGATTTACATAGTGTGGACAGAGGGCTTGTTTGATGCTGGTCCTCCTAATAAAGAGAGGATTCAGAGACGAGGGTTGGCATGGTCCCTAAGTAGAATCTTGACTTAAACCAATTTCCTGTCATGAGTAGAAAGAGAGAAAGGACCCAATCCTCCCATGTAATAGGCTGTTTACTCTAGGCTACTTTATAGATAATGTCCTGAGCTACCCTCCCCTCCTATCCATCTATCATGTGCCATGAAAAAGGCTTTTTAAAGAGCTGTCAAAAACAAATGAAACTATGGTAATAGGATTTAATTTGGAACGCCTGAGGGAAGCCTTCCCCACAGGAAATCAGGAATTATAAAATCTCATTCAGCTCTAATCATGGCTACACTTCCCCGGCCATTGGCCAGTCACAACAACTCACTTATTTTCCAACTGTCAACTAATAGCGGTTTGAACCATTAAACACCTGTTAAACATATTGTTCACTGGCAGACAGAGGTGTATCCTATTCCCCTTGCCTCCCATTGCAGTAGTGTTGGACTGTGATGAGAGAGAGAGAGAGAGAGAGAGAGAGAGAGAGAGAGAGACTAGCTGCCTGTAGTGAGTGTGTTGAGGATGGTCTGACGACAATGTTTAGCCTAAACAATTCTCCCGGGACACAGAGAAAGAGCTTTTGGGTAAATCCAAAAGATTCACTTGAGCTTTTCCCAGTGCTGGTTCTGATCTCCTATTATTAGTTCCTACTCTTTTTCTGCTCAATCGGGCATTTTAATGTCTGTGAAAACTTCAGCACAGTCAGTAGGCAGCAAGCAGGCATGGCAGGGGCAACTCATGCCCCCTTAGCGATGATCAGCATCCACAGTAGCCTACGTGAACTGCTGTGCACACTTTGGGGAAATCTGAACTGTTGTTACATCACCCAACATTTGCAAGCAGCTCAATCAGAATACAATGTTTAAATTTTTTTTTTTTTAAATATTTTTAAAAGATAATAATTTTTTAATACCTCCCTAACAATCGACAAGAGCTCACCCGTGCCTCGTTTTGATTGCTTTGTAGTTATGAAATTGTTTAACGCTGCTAGGTGCCAAGCAAGCTGTGTTAAAACTACAGTATAGGCTATCCAACAGTGTTTGTCTCGCCTTCTTGACATCCAAGAGGCCCTCAGAAACATATCCATCTGCACTAAAGAGGTTATCAGAGGTGTGAGGAGATGGGAGGTCTTTAGTATCTAGATGTGCCTCAGATGTGTCTGTAGATGTGTGCCATAGCCCAGATATAGCCTATACAGTGGGGAGAACAAGTATTTGATACACTGCCGATTTTGCAGGTTTTCCTACTTACAAAGCATGTAGAGGTCTGTAATTTTTTATCATAGGTACACTTCAACTGTGAGAGACAGAATCTAAAACATAAATCCAGAAAATCACATTGTATGATTTTTAAGTAATGAATTTGCATTTTATTGCATGACATAAGTATTTGATCACCTACCAACCAGTAAGAATTCCGGCTCTCACAGACCTGTTCGTTTTTCTTTAAGAAGCCCTCCTGTTCTCCACTCATTACCTGTATTAACTGCACCTGTTTGAACTCGTTACCTGTATAAAAGACACCTGTCCACACACTCAATCAAACAGACTCCAACCTATCCACAATGGCCAAGACCAGAGAGCTGTGTAAGGACATCAGGGATAAAATTGTAGACCTGCACAAGGCTGAGATGGGCTACAGGACAATAGGCAAGCAGCTTGGTGAGAAGGCAACAACTGTTGGCGCAATTATTCGAAAATGGAGGAAGTTCAAGATGACGGTCAATCACCCTCGGTCTGGGGCTCCATGCAAGATCTCACCTCGTGGGGCATCAATGATCATGAGGAAGGTGAGGGATCAGCCCAGAACTACACGGCAGGACCTGGTCAATGACCTGAAGAGAGCTGGGACCACAGTCTCAAAGAAAACCATTAGTAACACACTACGCCATCATGGATTAAAATCCTGCAGCGCACGCAAGGTCCCCCTGCTCAAGCCAGCGCATGTCCAGGCCCGTCTGAAGTTTGCCAATGACCATCTGGATGATCCAGAGGAGGAATGGGAGAAGGTCATGTGGTCTGATGAGACAAAAATAGAGCTTTTTGGTTTAAACTCCACTCGCCGTGTTTGGAGGAAGAAGAAGGATGAGTACAACCCCAAGAACACCATCCCAACCGTGAAGCATGGAGGTGGAAACATCATTCTTTGGGGATGCTTTTCTGCAAAGGGGACAGGGCGACTGCACCGTATTGAGGGGAGGATGGATGGGGCCATGTATCGTGAGATCTTGGCCAACAACCTCCATCCCTCAGTAAGAGCATTGAAGATGGGTCGTGGCTGGGTCTTCCAGCATGACAACGACCCGAAACACACAGCCAGGGCAACTAAGGAATGGCTCCGTAAGAAGCATCTCAAGGTCCTGGAGTGGCCTAGCCAGTCTCCAGACCTGAACCCAATAGATCATCTTTGGAGGAAGCTGAAAGTCCGTATTGCCCAGCGACAGCCCCGAAACCTGAAGGATCTGGAGAAGGTCTGTATGGAGGAGTGGGCCAAAATCCCTGCTGCAGTGTGTGCAAACCAGGTCAAGACCTACAGGAAACGTATGATCTCTGTAATTGCAAACAAAGGTTTCTGTACCAAATATTAAGTTCTGCTTTTCTGATGTATCAAATACTTATGTCATGCAATAAAATGCAAATGAATTACTTAAAAATCATACAATGTGATTTTCTGGATTTTTGTTTTAGATTCCGTCTCTCACAGTTGAAGTGTACCTATGATAAAAATTACAGACCTCTACATGCTTTGTAAGTAGGATAACCTGCAAAATCGGCAGTGTATCAAATACTTGTTCTCCCCACTGTATATACAGTTGAAGTCAGAAGTTTACATACACCTTAGCCAAATACATTTAAACTCAGTTTTTCACAATTCCTGACATTTAATCCTAGTAGAAATTCCCTGTTTTAGGTCAGTTATGATCACCACTTTATTTTATGAATGTGAAATATCAGAATAATAGTAGAGAGAATGATTTATTTCAGCTTTTATTTATTTCATCACATTCCCAGTGGGTCAGAAGTTTACATACACTCAATTAGTATTTGGTAGCATTGCCTTTAAATTGTTTAACTTGGGTCAAACGTTTCGGGTAGCCTTCCACAAGCTTCCCACAATAAGTTAGGTGAATTTTGGCCCATTCCTCCTGACAGAGCTGGTGTAACTGAGTCATGTTTGTAGGCCTCCTTGCTCACACACGCTTTTTCAGTTCTGCCCACAAATTTTCTATAGGATTGAGGTAAGGGCTTTGTGATGGCCACTCCAATATCTTGACTTTGTTGTCCTTAAGCCATTTTTCCACAACTTTGGAAGTATGCTTGGGGTCATTGTCCATTTGGAAGACCCATTTTACTTCCTGACTGATGTCTTGAGATGTTGCTTCAATATATCCACATAATTTTCCTTCCTCATGATGCCATCTATTTTGTGAAGTGCACCAGTCCCTCCTGCAGCAAAGCACCACCACAGCATGATGCTGCCACTCCCGTGCTTCACGGTTGGGATGGTGTTCTTCGGCTTACAAGACCTCCAAACATAACGATGGTCATTATGGCCAAACAGTTCTATTTTTGTTTCATCAGACCAGAGGACATTTCTCCAAAAAGTACGATCTTTGTCCCCATGTGCAGTTGCAAACCGTAGTCTGGCTTTTTTATGGTGGTTTTGGAGCAGTGGCTTCTTCCTTGCTGAGCGGCCTTTCAGGTTATGTCGATATAGGACTCGTTTTACTGTGGATATAGATACTTTTGTACCTGTTTCCTCCAGCATCTTCACAAGGTCCTTTGCTGTTGTTCTGGGATTGATTTGCACTTTTCGCACCAAAGTACGTTCATCTCTAGGAGACAGAACGCGTCTTCTTCCTGAGCGGTATGACGGCTGCGTGGTCCAATGGTGTTTATACTTGCGTACTATTGTTTGTACAGATGAACGTGGTACCTTCAGGCGTTTGGAAATTGCTCCCAAGGATGAACCAGACTTGTGGAGGTCTACAATTTTTTTTCTGAGGTCTTGGCTTATTTCTTTTGATTTTCCCATGATGTCAAGCAAAGAGGCACTGAGTTTGAAGGTAGGCCTTGAAATACATCCACAGTTACACCTCCAATTAACTCAAATTATGTCAATTAGCCTATCAGAAGCTTCTAAAGCCATGACATCATTTTCTGGAATTTTCTAATCTGTTTAAAGGCACAGTCAACTTAGTGTATGTAAACTTCTGACCCACTGGAATTGTGATACAGTGAATTATAAGTGAAATAATCTGTCTGTAAACAATTGTTGGAAAAATTACTTGTGTCATGCACAAAGTAGATGTCCTAACCGACTTGCCAAAACTATATTTTGTTAACAAGACATTTGTGGAGTGGTTGAAAAACGAGTTTTAATGATTCTAACCTAAGTGTATGTAAGCTTACGACTTCAGCTGTAGCTAGTTCCTGTCTGCAGATAAGGGGACCCCGACTCTAGCTGATAACTGTGATAACTGATTCTGGCCCTCTGGATCTCTGCAGATGATGCAAACCCAGGCCTAGGCTTATTCCCATGAGGGGGAAATTACATTGGTGGAAGAAGGGGTTGTGCTGTGCAGAGAGAGATTCATCAAAGTGGTTTCCTCTCCTGCTGCAAGTGAGCTGTAGGAAGAGAGAAGCTGGTTTTATAATCAAGGCCCGTGGAGGGAAATTAATATGTGCCTATCCTCGCTCATTTGCTGATTTCAGCAAGCCAACCACTTTACACTTAGGATCTGCCGACATGGAGCAAGGCTTCGCTAGGGCTGGGATGATTCCCCTTGGCAGGGAGAGCAGAGAATCACTGTAAGTGCATATTTATCATCCATGCCTTGGACTGCCTTCAGACAAACGAAAGCTCTGGTCTGCGTTTTTTTGCCTGTGTTCTGAATGTAACTCTGTTTGCGTGGCCTTCTGAAAATAAACAATGTAAGAGGGGGCCTTGGTCTTTGAGTCTGATGTAGAAGGTAGGGCCCTATAAAATCTGTTACGTTTAGTTTTTCCCCAAATTCTGTTTCTCCCATTCTTTTCAGGTTTTTGCTCTCAAAGTCACACTTTTTAAATAGAAAAACAACAACATTGGATGTTGTAAGTCCACAACAATACTTTAACCAAATCAGGAGTACACTTTTGAGGTCTGGGAAAAATCTAATACATTTAAATTTTTGGGAGTAGTTACCCTTTAAGTCAACTATGCACCAGCCAGAGACCATTGTTTGGTTAGCAATGTTTCTGTAGCGCTCATGTGATTGCAGAGTTTGCTAAACAAATGGCCACTGGATTGATGCAAATAATCATGATATCATTCTGCATAGGCTTCTTTGTAGTTAACATTTAATTGAGAAGGTTTTTGGGAACCTTTCCATCTACCAGAAGACGGTTGTCATTACATTAGCATCATCACTAACGGCTACACAAAATGGTAGACAAACGTGCACACCTGGACAAGGGCATTCCTGTGCCGTTGCCTCTTCAGAAAGTTGAAGGAAAATACGAATCACTGATGCATTTTGTTTATGTTTTATGATAATCTTGTGCAAATTAATTATATTTTTTCTTTTAATGAATGACTTTTCTAATAAGTTCAATACATTTAGTTGATTTCCTGCTAAGTTCAATACATTTGTTAATATTGTTGAATTCAGTTTTAATATCTGGATTCCGTGATTCCATCCGCAAACTCCACAATGCGGATTTTATAGACCCTAATGGTAGAACTAGGCAATTTACAGTAATATCATATGCATAGGCTATTTACTCACCCATCACTATTATCATAAAGTAAAGACATGGTTGAATGATCCTTCAAGACAGCAACATGCAGCATTGCTATTATCCTAACTCATAAACAAGCTAGCCTCAGCCAGTACTTAGCTAGGCTAGTTGTTTCAGTTTACCCTGCCTTTGACATCTTTGAAGCTTGGATGTTACTGTAATCTGTGTTCTTGGTAGGAAGAAAGAATATAACACAAACTCATCTTCTTCCGTCAAGGGCTAGTCCCTCTGGGACTGGCAGAGCAGAGCAGCACTCTTATAAATAAGTATTCTTTATCATGCTGCTGCTTTGCTTTCCACTTGACCAGCTCCTGCTTGGCTGTAGGTCAAATCAAATCAAATCAAAGGTTATTGGTCACATACACATGTTTAGCAGATGTTATTGCGGGTGTAGCGAAATGCTTGTGCTTCTAGCTCCAACAGTGCACTAATATCTAACAATTCACAACAATACACATAACCTAAAAGTAAAAGAATGGAATTAAGAAATATATAAATTTTAGGATGAGCAATGTCGGAGTGGCATAGACTAAAATACAGTAGAATAGAATACAGTATATACATATGAGATGAGTAAAGCAAAAATATGTAAACATTATTAAAGTGACTAGTGTTCCATTATTAAAGTGGCCAGCCTCTAAGGTGGAGGGTTACGTAACCGGGTGGAAGCCGCCTAGTGATGGCTACTTAACAGTCTGATGGCCTTGAGATAGAAGCTGTTTTTCAGTCTCTCTGTCCCAGCTTTGATGCACCTGTACTGACCTCACCTTCTGGATGATAGCGGGGTGAACAGGTAGTGGCTCGGGTGGTTGTTATCCTTTTTGGCCTTCCTGTGACATTGGGTGCTGAAGGTGTCCTGGAGAGCAGGTAATTTGCCCCCGGTGATGTGTTGTGCAGACCGCACCACCCTCTGGAGAGCCTTGCGGTTGCGGGCGGTGCAGTTGCCGTACCAGGCGGTGATACAGCCCGACAGGATGCTCTTAATTGTGCATCTGTAAAAGTTTGTGAGGGTTTTAGGTGTATCCCCTTCTTCGCCACACTGTCTGTGTGGGTGGACCATTTCAGATCGTCAATGATGTGTACGCTGAGGAACTTGAAGCTTTCCACCTTCTCCACTGTGATCCCGTCGATGTGGATAGGGGCGTGCGCCCTCTGCTGTTTCCTAAAGTCCACGATCAGCTCGTTTGTTTTGTTGACGTTGAATAAGAGATTATTTTCCTGGCACCACACTTCCAGGGCCCTCACCTCCTTCCTGTAGGCTGTCTCGTCATCGTTGGTAATCTGGCCTACTACTGTTGTGTCGTCTGCAAACTTGATGATTGAGTTGGAGGCGTGCGTGGCCACGCAGTCATGGGTGAACAGGGAGTACAGGAGGGGGCTGAGCACACACCCTTGTGGGGCCCCTGTGTTGAGGATCAGTAAAGTGGAGGTGTTGTTTCCTACCTTCACCACCTGGGGGTGGCCCGTCAGGAAGTCCAGGATCCAATTGCACAGGGCGGGGTTCAGACCCAGGGCCCTGAGCTTAATGATGAGCTTGGAGGGTACTATGGTGTTGAATGCTGAGCTATAGTCAATGAACAGCATTCTTACATAGGTATTCCTCTTGTCCAGATGGGATAGGGCAGTGTGCAGTACGATGGCGATTGCATCGTCTTTGGATCTATTGGAGCGGTAAGCAAATTGAAGTGGGTCTAGGGTGTCAGGTAAGGTAGAGGTGATATGATCCTTAACTAGCCTCTCAAAGCACTTCATGATGACAGAAGTGAGTGCTACGGGGCGATAGTCATTTAGTTACCTTTGCTTTCTTTGGTACAGGAACGATGGTGGACATCTTGACGCAAGTGGGGACAGAAGACTGGGATAGGGAGAGATTGAATATGTCCGTAAACACTCCAGCCAGCTGTTCTGCGCATGCTCTGAGGACGCAGTTAGGGATGCGTCTGGGCCAGCAGCCTTGCGAGGGTTAACACGCTTAAATGTCTTACTCACATTGGTCACGGAGAAGGAGGGCCCACAGTCCTTGGTAGCGGGCCGCGTCGGTGGCACTGTGTTATCCTTAAAGCGGGCGAAGAAGGTGTTTAGCTTGTCCGGAAGCAAGACGTCGGTGTCCGCGACCTGGCAAGTTTCCCCTTTGCAGTCCATGATTGTCTTTAGACCTTTCCACATACGTCTCGTGTCTGAGCCGTTGAATTGCGACTCCACTTTGTCTTTATACTGACGTTTTGCCTGTTTGATTGCCTTACGGAGGGAATAACTATACTGTTTGTGTTCGCCCATATTCCCAGTCACCTTGCCATCGTTAAATGCAGTGGTTCGCGCTTTCAGTTTTGCGCAAATGCTGCCATCTATCCACGGTTTCTGGTTTGGGTAGGTTTTAATAGTCATAGTGGGTACATCATCTCTTATACACTTCCTGATGAACTCAGTCACCGTATCCGTGTATTCGTCAATGTTATTCTCAGAGGCTACCTGGAACATATCCCAGTCCGCGTGATCAAAACAATCTTGAAGCATGGATTACGATTGGTCAGACCAGAGTTGAATAGTCCTTAGCACGGGTACTTCCTGTTTGAGTTTCTGCCTATAGGAAGGTAGGAGCAAAATGGAGTCATGATCAGATTTGCTGAAGGGAGGGCAGGGGAGGGCCTTGTAGGCATTTCGAAAAGCTGAGTAGCAGTGGTCTAATGTTTTCTCAGAGCGAGTGCTACAGTCAATGTGTTGGTAGAACTTCGGTAGCGTTTTCCACAAATTTGCTTTGTTAAAATCCCCAGCTACAATAAATGAGGCCTCAGGATATGTGGTTTCCAGTTTGCATAATGTCCAGTGTAGTTCTTTGAGGGCCGTAGTGGTATCGGCTTGAGGGGGAATATACACAGCTGTGACTATAACCGACGAGAATTCTCTTGGGAGGTAGTGCCTTTATTGTGGAGCAGTCTTAACAGTGACAACTTGAATCACATCGTCCCAGAGTCTGGCAAGTAGAAGTAGAACCAGTAGTGAGCGAATGAGCCCCTGCTATCTCCTGCCTTCTCCCCAGCGGCTGATGGGGACCACAGATGTACATCACCATCATATTCAGATCACCATCGTATTCAGCAGACTCATTTTCTACCCTCACTGCTGAAAGACACAGTAGATTCAGCAGCAGCAGTGCCACTTTGAATTAGGCGTTAATGAAGTGGTTTTGATGATGAAATCACCATACTGAGTAGTCTACCCCAGACTAATTTTCCCTCTGGTGTTATCATTTTACAGCCACACAGAGCAGCTCAGCTCCCTCAGACTTCTTCATATCAGTTTTCTGCACACTGGCAACATTGTTTCCCCCCCACTGAAACAGATGGTTAAAGTGACAATGAACTGACCTTGAACTGGCTATCCTTTAGGCTAACTCTGAATCAGTATGTTCTTAGTATACTTAGTATTTCAAGACCATTAGCAGTATAGGGTGGAATATTGGCTACAGTGCTCTATTTCAGCTATCTGTGGGTCTGGCCTCCCTTTGTGTGGAGACCTGCACATCATCCTTACTAGTAGTTATCACAATACAGTTCACGTCAGCACAGTGAAAAGTGATGACAACAGTTCCATGCTCTGTTTCTGCAGTCAGCTATCAGCCCACAGCTTTTCCTCCTTCAGGCTCAGAGAAAAAAGTTTCTAGGTCAAATGGACCATGGTGACTCTGGTATAATTGTTCCCCCAGACACAGCAGAATAATTGTTCTACTTAGCTTCATTTTTTACATTTTAGTCAGTTAGCAGACGCTCTTATCCAGAGCGACTTACAGTTAGTGAGTGCATACATTTTCATACTGGCCCCCTGTGGGAATTGAACCCACAATCCTGGCATTGCAAGCGCCATGCTCTACCAACTGAGCTACACGGGGCCTATAGGTCCTAGACTTCCTTATACAGTGGGGGAAAAAAGTATTTAGTCAGCCACCAATTGTGCAAGTTCTCCCACTTAAAAAGATGAGAGAGGCCTGTAATTTTAATAATAGGTACAGGTCAACTATGACAGACAAAATGAGAATTTCTTTTCCAGAAAATCACATTGTAGGATTTTTAATGAATTTATTTGCAAATGATGGTGGAAAATAAGTATTTGGTCAATAACAAAAGTTTCTCAATACTTTGTTATATACCCTTTGTTGGCAATGACACAGGTCAAACGTTTTCTGTAAGTCTTCACAAGGTTTTCACACACTGTTGCTGGTATTTTGGCCCATTCCTCCATGCAGATCTCCTCTAGAGCAGTGATGTTTTGGGGCTGTCGCTGGGCAACACGGACTTTCAACTCCCTCCAAAGATTTTCTATGGGGTTGAGATCTGGAGACTGGCTAGGCCACTCCAGGACCTTGAAATGCTTCTTACGAAGCCACTCCTTCGTTGCACGGGCGGTGTGTTTGGGATCATTGTCATGCTGAAAGACCCAGCCACGTTTCATCTTCAATGCCCTTGCTGATGGAAGGAGGTTTTCACTCAAAATCTCACGATACATGGCCCCATTCATTCTTTCCTTTACACTGATCAGTAGTCCTGGTCCCTTTGCAGAAAAACAGCCCCAAAGCATGATGTTTCCACCCCCATGCTTCACAGTAGGTATGGTGTTCTTTGGATGCAACTCAGCATTCTTTGTCCTCCAAACACGACGAGTTGAGTTTTTACCAAAAAGTTATATTTTGGTTTCATCTGACCATATGACATTCTCCCAATCCTCTTCTGGATCATCCAAATGCACTCTAGCAAACTTCAGACGGGCCTGGACATGTACTGGCTTAAGCAGGGGGACACGTCTGGCACTGCAGGATTTGAGTCCCTGGCGGCGTAGTGTGTTACTGATGGTAGGCTTTGTTACTTTGGTCCCAGCTCTCTGCAGGTCATTCACTAGATCCCCCCGTGTGGTTCTGGGATTTTTGCTCACCGTTCTTGTGATAATTTTGACCCCACGGGGTGAGATCTTGCGTGGAGCCCCAGATCGAGGGAGATTATCAGTGGTCTTGTATGTCTTCCATTTCCTAATAATTGCTCCCACAATTGATTTCTTCAAACCAAGCTGCTTACCTATTGCAGATTCAGTCTTCCCAGCCTGGTGCAGGTCTACAATTTTGTTTCTGGTGTCCTTTGACAGCTCTTTGGTCTTGGCCATAGTGGAGTTTGGAGTGTGACTGTTTGAGGTTGTGGACAGGTGTCTTTTATACTGATAACAAGTTCAAACAGGTGCCATTAATACAGGTAACGAGTGGAGGACAGAGGAGCCTCTTAAAGAAGAAGTTACAGGTCTGTGAGAGCCAGAAATCTTGCTTGTTTGTAGGTGACCAAATACTTATTTTCCACCATAATTTGCAAATAAATTCATAAAAAATCCTACAATGTGATTTTCTGGATATTTTTTTCTCAATTTGTCTGTCATAGTTGACGTGTACCTATGATTAAAATTACAGGCCTCTCTCATCTTTTTAAGTGGGAGAACTTGCACAATTGGTGGCTGACTAAATACTTTTTTCCCCACTGTAGGTCCTAGTTCTGCTCTTTCCTTGTCTCTGTGAATGAAATCTGGGCTGTACGTTCTCCAGCAGCATCACACTATAGGCTACCCAGGCAACAACAAAAAAACGGTCCAAACTAGCCTAAGCTCTGGCTAATTATGAGTAGCGTCCATTGCCATGTGAAATGTGATCTGTGCGGGATGACAATGGACTCATTCATTATTCATGAGAGCAGGGAGCCAGAGACTGATCAATGGCAGCAGCCATCAAAAGCCAAACATTGGGGTGCTGATGCTGTCGCCAGGCCCTGTAGCACAACCAAACAGTTCTATTGAACCACAACCCCAGTATGGCTATCTTTTTCTGCCCTTTGAAGCTGTGCTGCATTCTTTGGCATAGGGATCGCTTTTGAGGAGAGAGGTCTGTTTTGGTTTGGTCAAGGACAGGTCAATGCAATGTAATGGGGTTTAGAAGTATGCCACAATTCACAAGATGATATTACAATAATCTATAGGCCTAGGCTATAAACAAATTACATGTATTTGTTATGAATATGAATACTGTAAGTAGGTAGGCATCATTTTATATTTTTGTGAAAATGTTCCCTAAATCTATGGCCTACCTCTTAAGCCTGTCACATGCTTCATAGTCGAAACAGTCAGCTCTTATATTATGACAACATTTTGTGACGTTTTTTGTTTGTTTTGGTGTTCGGCAGGGGTCTACGCCCCTTCGTCAGTGATTGGTCAACAGTACTACTCCTAGTAGGAGTGGGAACCATGGACGGGATTCTTCAATTAAGTGTTTGTTGCCATTCAACGAGAGACGACTAGTTTTCATGCAAATGTTTTCACTTGTGAAGTACTGCACCTAACATCTTAATTAGATGTAAAATAGTGTGACTAAGACCTCCTCTGCAAAAGCGTCTAAATTAATTACAGATTTCTTGATTTATCTTAATTGAATTATTAATTCAGACTATTTTGAGGAAGTGTATACTGGCTATGTTGTTGCTACAGCGTCTCAATAGTAATATTGCCGCTTTTTTCTCGTTTTTCAAGCGAAGGTCTTTTAAGGGAGTATGCGAGGCACAGACGTTCGCTTCGCCAGCCAAGTTCTGCTAGGAGCAAACCAAACCTAGTATGCGGGTGCGTTTAGTTGTGTTATGGACGGTATAACACTGCCCCTCAAGCTACAGTAAGAGCATGAAAGCTTATTACCAGGACATTTTCAGCCATATTACCTGCAATATAACTAGCAGTATATAGCATAGGTAACAGGCTGAAGCTGGTGTGTGAAGGTACCACAGTGTCTTTGGACCTCTGCTAGTGATTGGTGAGCACCATTTGTCTCTATTTGTAACGAGGCAATTTTCCACTGCAGTTCTTCAGTCCCACAAAATGTTCACCTCTAAATATTGTTTATTGTACTTACGATGATTGACAGTGATCCAGGGCAATCAAGGACTCACAGGTGGGTGGTCTTTGGCTGGACATGGGCGTGTAGTAGGTTACAATGTTTTAAATGTCATGTAACAAATGAAAGGGACATTTATCTTTTATTTTTATTTTTTATATATAGACGTTGGTGGGTAATATCAGTAGACCTACTGTATATGTCCAGGTCTGGACTGCGTGGTCCTGGGGTCTCTAGGCCTGCTTGTGCTTATCTATGTGATTCGATCATACGCCATGTTGATGGTCATAAAATAGTCATTTCTTGATGGTATTTGTATGAGTGAGGTCTGAATTGCCCTGGCTGGAGGTTTTTATCAGTGACTCCAGGTGCAAGCCTTTGTTTCCTGTTGTATTTCTGCTACAGTGTATTCCACAGTGAAAGCCTCTCTCTCTCTCTCTCTCTCTCTCTCTCTCTCTCTCTCTCTCTCTCTCTCTCTCTCTCTCTCTCTCTCTCTCTCTCTCTCTCTCTCTCTCTCTCTCTCTCTCTCTCTCTCTCTCTCTCTCTCTCTCTCTCTCTCTCTCTCTCTCTCTCTCTCTCTCTCTCTCTCTCAATTCAATTCAATTTCAATTTAAGGGCTTTATTGGCATGGGAAACATACGTTAACATTGCCAAAGCAAGTGAAGTAGATAGTAAACAAAAGTGAAATAAACAATAAATATTAACAGTAAACATTACACTCAGAAGTTCCAAAATAATAAAGACATTTCAAATGTCATATTATGTATATATACAGTGTTGTCTCTCGCTCTGCAGATAAGACCATTATGTCTCAGTTTGTAATCAAACCTGAAAACAAACTGACTACTCCACGTCTCCAACACCATCATTAAGTTTGCCGACGACACAACAGTGGTAGGCCTGATCACCGACAACGATGAGACAGCCTATAGGGAGGAGGTCAGAGATCTGGCCGTGTGGTGCCAGGACAACAACCTCTCCCTCAACGTGACCAAGACAAAGGAGATGATTGTGGACTACAGGAAAAAAAAGAGGACTGAGCACGCCCCCATTCTCATCGACGGGGCTGTAGTGGAACAGGTTGAGAGCTTCAAGTTCCTTGGTGTCCACATCACCAACGAACTATCATGGTCCAAACACACCAAGACAGTCGTGAAGAGGGCACGACAAAGCCTATTCCCCCTCAGGAGACTAAAAAGATTTGGCATGGGTCCTCAGATCCTCAAATAATTCTACAGCTGCACCATCGAGAGCATCCTGACTGGTTGCATCACTGCCTGGTATGGCAACTGCTTGGCCTCAGACCGCAAGGCACTACAGAGGGTAGTGCGTACGGCGCAGTACATCACTGGGGCAAAGCTTCCTGCCATCCAGGACCTCTATACCAGGCGGTGTCAGAGGAAGGCCCTCAAAATTGTCAAAGACTCCAGCCTCCCTAGTCATAGACTGTTCTCTCTGCTACCGCACGGCAAGCGGTACCGGAGTGCCAAGTCTAGGTCCAAAAGACTTCTCAACAGCTTCTACCCCCAAGCCATAAGACTCCTGAACAGCTAATCATGGCTATCCGGACTATTTGCACTGCCCCCCCACCCCATCCTTTTTACGCTGCTGCTACTCTGTTAAGTATTTATGCATAGTCACTTTAACTCTACCCACATGTACATATTACCTCAACTACCTCAACTAGCCGGTGCCCCCGCACATTGACTCTGCAATGGTACCCCCCTGTATATATAGCCTCCCTACTGTCACTTTATTTTACTTCTGCTCTTTTTTTTCTCAACACTTTTTTTTGTTGTTGTTTTATTTTTACTTTTTTTGTTTAAAATAAATGCACTGTTGGTTAAGGGCTGTAAGTAAGCATTTCACTGTAATGTCTGCACCTGTTGTATTCGGCGCATGTGACCAATACAATTTGATTTGATTTGATTTACTCCGAATGGAAGCCTGGCTGTGTCAGTCAGATAACAGAGAGATTGTGATGTCATTGGTGTAAGTAGGGTAAAGAAGAACATTTGAGAACTCTAACTTCAACCTTTCAGATCAGTTGAACATAGACTTTGAAATGCACAGGGTGTCTTTTGTTTTTCATTAACACAATCATAGTTTTACGCTCCTGTTATCACACAGGCATAGAGAAATACCCCAAATAAATGTGGTTGCTTTCAATGGGGTGTGAAAAGAAACAAACCACTGTTGTGAACTTTGTGTGAGGCAAAGTTCCAAATTTGGCAGAAGGCAACACTAAGGCCATATTGCTCTGGGTGCAAATCATTCTACGCTTCAATGAACGGCCACAAATTATTTATATATTTCTCTCAGCAGATGGTGCCGCTCGGTCCGGCCTCTTTTGAGATACTATGGGGTAAATTGTATAATGTTGTTTTGGTTCCTCATCCACCCTGGCCTGCACCCTTAAGTAGCCAGACTCACACAGCCGCCCAACATAGCAATAAACCACCCTCTCAGGCTTATATAGCCGACTTCATTGATTAAGAATGATTTCCTTTATGAGGTAATGTGTTTTTCTGTCCCAGTAAGTGTTTGCTCTCTTAGGAGCAGGTCTGAGAATCCCCAGTCTTATCCAGGGCCAGGCTGAGGCAGAGGAGAGGAGAGGAGAGTGCAATGACACAGTCCTCAGGGCTTCTCTAGTTACAAGCCTCCCTTTGCCTTTCTGTCTTTCGAAGAAAATCTGGGCCGGGGAGAGTGGAGGGGATGGAGGGGATGGAGGGGGGTGGGGAGTGGGAGAAGACGCATGGGGAACTTCAGTGTTCTCCAATGAATTACACGATACTCCGGCAATGGAAAAGTCTGCTTCTCTGGAGAAAACCACTAGGAAATAATTTGGTTGCTAACTAAACTAACTCCTCTACCTCCCTCTTTTTCTTCCTCCTCTCTCTCTCCCACTTTCTGTATCTCTCTTCCTCTCTCCCGGTCTCCCTCTCACACAGACTCCCCTCCCCCTCTTCCTCTCTCTCTGTCTTATCTTAAAATGGATTCCCAGAGGATAAAACACAAGGGCTCCATGAATATTTGATGAAATGCAGGCATGACCTCAGTCAGGTCTACACTCATGCTCCATCCGGCAGGGCAGCCCAGACGGGAGCACTTGGCTGGACTAGGGTTGCAAAGGGAGGGTATATTACTGGAAACTTTTGAAGTTTACCAGTAAACTACCAGAATTGTGGTATCTTTCAAGGATTTTATGTAATCTATCACAAGACAACTAGTGGCCCTTTTGGGTACTTCAGATTATCACAGGCATCTGTAATTATCTCTGGTCCTCTGTGAGGCCTTATCACATGAATATACAATATGAAATAATTACATAAGATGATTTGTTTTAAAAAATTGAATGACAAAGCTGTTAAACATTATCCTAAATACAAACCATCAACTTAGTGAATACCATTGGTGTTTCAGCATGAAATATCCTTTGTATTTGTTTTTCACACTGTTATTTATTTGACTATGTCAATATGTATTTGTTGTCAATGTTTTTGCATCAAACTGGTGGCAGTTGTGAAAAAAGTTAATAGTTGGACGAGTTGCAGAGGTAATTGAAAATAATGCCATTGTTGATTAGATGCTTTTAAAATTAATTTGGCTATTTTCTCTTGAACCATATGGTCTATCCACTAAACATCATGGACAATATGGACACATATGTAAAAAATGATTACTATATATGAATAAAAAAAATTAAAAGTTACTCAAGTATAAATTACGAAAGTTACGATAGATTGCCATAGATTTTCTGTTAATTACCAAAATTACTGAAGATTCCTTTAACTTTAGTAAATTACTGGTAGCTTTGCAATCCTACATTTACATTTACATCATTTAGCAGATCCTAGCCAATCCTAGGCTGGACTATGAAAACGACTCTGTAACTGCAAAGCTATGTGGTCATCTGTCACGGACCCTAGCTAGCTGTCATTTTCAGTGATGTAATTCACCATGGCCTGTTAAACTGTTGATAGTGCCAAGCTAATTGTCATTGATAGTGTTTTATTGTAGACCTTCTACTGCCAGAGGTATGAGGTGCTTTACGGATAGAAACTTCATTTTTGTCTGTAAAGGACATCACTTATTTTTACTCCTCTTTTGTTGCTTATAAAAAGGGATGTATATAAGTGATTTGTTACAACACTGCCGAGAAGACTAACCAGCAGTACTATTTTATCTCACTTGTTCACGTTCTTCGCTCCTCTAGAAAAGGCTTGAACTGTTTTCTATTCTAATTTCAACCTTGTCATGAGGACTTGAATCAGCATACAATCTTGGTTTTATCGTTACATCCATAAGCTAAGCAAATGTGAGCAGTGAGTGAGCATGTGGGAAAGCAATTGACCAACGATAACGGCGATCCTATAACATGAAACTATTGACTTTTAGTGGGGGTCTGCTCAGTGCTCAGCTGTTTCTCCCTGGGCTCTAGATCTAATGAAAGCCAACTAATAAAAACAATGGAATCTTTCCCACCTCAAAAGCTCCCCAGATAAAGCAAACGTGAACACAGACATGTCTTGATTGTTCTATTGCACTCTGGGTTTGTAGCCGACTGCCAGCCTCGGAAGAGCCAGTCACGCAAGGGGCTCTGCTCAAAACAGAACCATGTGTGGGCTTGTAGTTAGCATTAATACGAAAATACCGCTTCCTTCTCCCACCCCTTCCTTTTTTCAAATTGCACAACCCATTAAATGACTTATTTTTTGCTATAAGGAGCCTGGCAAACAAAGGATATGATTTCATTGGGGGGGGGGGGGGGACCTGTAATTGGTATCTCAGCTTTCCCAGCAGCTCATATAAGCTAGGACCATGTCTATGTCTGTGTGTGTTTCATAGCTGCTTGGCTGAAACTGAATTTGTAATCTGACTCTGATAATGAAAGGTGGGGTGCCCCATATGTTGGTACTGGATGGTTCAGTGGTATTCTGCTCGGAGCTGTGTGTATATGTGTGTGTGTGTGTGTGTGTGTGTGTGTGTGTGTGTGTGTGCGTACTTGTGTGTGTGTGTTTATTTAGTGAGTTTTGTTATTGCCTCAAACCCAGGCTCACACTGGTTGCCTTTGGCTCCGCAGTACCAGTCTCCCTGTCTGAGCTACATCATGTTCTCAGCTTAGGGAAGCCTGATGAAGACAATTTAGAGTTGCGAATGCTACACTCATTTTGTGAAAATAGATTATTAGTCTCATCTAAAAACATATGTTCCCACACAGACTTGGCTGTAGATATACAATACCTGCTTTCACAGACACCAAAACTATTTCTGCTCAATGTTCTTAGCATAGGAAAGCCTGATGAAGACAACGTAGAGTTGTGAATGCAATTATATAGATCTAAAAGGCACCATTTATCGTCCTTTGCGTTTCACAAATATTGAGAAGTTTTTTTATATTGTCCTGCAAATGGCAGAACAGAAAAACACTGCATAACTGGGAATAGTGTTGCTTTTTCCATCTAGCCTACAGCAGTGGGCAACTGGGTATGGGTGTGTAGAGAGAATGGGATGGGTTGTGATTGAATCACTGACATCACAGACATCAGAGATAGGCTTTCTGCAGACAGGCCTTATCAGGTTAGTTCTATTTTGGATCTTGGATCGGTAGGACGTGTGGGAGGGGTAAATTACATTTTGGTTCGCTCGAATGATTCATATTGATTTGATCTCAACACAGCATCTTGGTTTGTGCCCAAGAAAGAAACTCTAGTAAAGGGGAGCACTGTATGAAAAGCCATCTGTGTAAAAAGTATAGCCCACCCACTGGGCACACTAAGTCATGTCAGATGTCAGATCTTTTGTTTATTTATACAACAGATTAATGTGTTATCACTGTGCTTCATCTAATAGCATAACCAAATTATCTGGATTGCAGCTGAGTAGAAAAGTATATGGTGAAAGTGATCAATGCTGTTCGAGATTCTGCACAGATTATTTCAGCAATTGTGAAGATCTCCACAGACCTGCAACGACCTATGCATGCTATTTTGATTATTTTTTTTGCCATGGATGTGTTACTCATTTTAAGTTTCAACGTTACATTAGTTTGTAAGGCTATTTACTGTATTACAAAAGTAATTTTTAATTGTGTTTGGTTGACAACGCAAACAAATATCAACATTTAAAGGAGATGTATTTGCTGCTTGGATAGTTCCATCTGAGCCAATGGCTAAATCCCATTCGTTAACTTTTATTTTTGGTTAAGTTGGAGACATGAATCCAAGATATAATTTGTTAACTTGTCGACAAGTTAATATGCTATTTATTCTATTTCAAAAGTGAGATTGAATTGTGTTTGTTTGTCAACACAACCAAATATAAACATTTGAACAAGATTTATCTTCTGCTTAGAGAGTTCCATCTGTGCCACTGACTTATTCTGGCTTTAATTCCAGTTTGTCTACAAATTAATAATTGATAATTGATATGTTGGATTCACATCTCCATCTCAACCAAATAGGACTGAATCAAATCAAATCAAACTTTAAATTAACTTTAAAGAAAGTTTGATTTGATTTAGTCCTATTCTTTAACTTTGATTTTTGGTTTAGATCGAGATGTGAATCCAGCGTATAAATTATTAATTTGAATACAAACTGGAATTAAAGCCAGACTAATTAGTGGCACAGATGGAACTAACTCCTTAAAATGTTTATTATTTGGTTGTGTTGACAACCATACACAATTCAATATCACTAAATATCATAATATTTGATATCAACCAGAGTTTAAAAACCTAGGCCTATTGTATTGTCTATTTTTTGTTGAATTGAAACAATAGCTGTTGATGACTTTACAAATGCTATATGCCAAAATACACTGAACAAAATTATATACGCAACATGCAACAATTTCTAAGATTTTACTGAGTTACAGTTCATTTAAGGAAATTAATTAATTTAAGGAAATTAATTAATTAGGCCCTAATCTATGGATTTCACATGACTGGGAATACAGATATGCATCTGTTGGTCTCAGATACCTTTAAAAAAAGGTAAGGGCGTGGATTAGAAAACCAGTCGGTATCTGGTGACACCACCATTTGCCTCATGCAGCGTGACAAATCTCCTTCGCATAGAGTTGATCAAGCTGTTGATTGTGGCCTGTGGAATGTTGTCCCATTCCTCTTCAATGGCTGGACATTGGCGGGAACTGGAAAATGCTGTCGTAAACGTTGATCCAGAGCATCCCAAACATGATCAATGGGTGACATGTCTGGTGAGTATGCAGGCCATGGAGGAACTGGGACATTTTCAGCTTCCAGGAATTGTGTACAGATCCTTGCGTCAGGATCTTGTCACGACATCTCTGCATTCAAATTGCCATTGATAAAATGCAATTGTGTTCGTTGTCCATAGTTTATGCCTGCCCATACCATAACCCCACCGCCACCATGGGGCACTCTGTTCACAACGTTGACCTCAGCAAACCGCTCGCCCACACGATGCCATACACACTGTCTGCCATCTGCAGTTGAAACCAGGATTCATCCATGAAGAGCACCCTTCTCCAGTGTGTCAGTGGCCATCGACGGTAAGCATTTGACCACTGAAGTCGGTTACGATGCCGAACTGCAGTCAAGGTCAAGACCCTGGTGAGGACGACGAGCACGCAGATGAGCTTCCCTGAGACGATTTCTGACAGTTTGTGCACAAATTCTTCGGTTGTGCAAACCCACAGTTTCATCAGCTGTCCGGGTGGCTGGTCTCATACGATCCCCCAGGTGAAGAAGCCGGATGTGGAGGTGCTGGGCTGGCGTGGTTACACGTGGTCTGCGGTTGTGAGGCCGGTTGGACGTACTGCCAAATTCTGTAAAACGACGTTGGAGACAGTTTATGGTAGAGAAATTAACATTACATTCTCTGGCAACAGCTCTGGTGGACATTCCTGCAGTCAGCATGCCAATTGCAATCTCCCTCAAATCTTGAGACATCTGTGGCATTGTGTTTACAAAACTGCACATTTCAGAGTGGCCTTTTATTGTCCCCAGCACAAGGTGCACCTGATCCTGCTGTTTAATCAGCTTATTGATATGCCACACCTGTCAGGTGGATGGATTATCTTGGCAAAGGAGAAAATGCTCACTAACATGGATGTAAACAAATTTGTGAATTAAATAAGCTTTTTTACATGTTCTGTTCATATTTTTGTTCAGTGTAGATTTGGATAGAATTTTGATTAACCACATGACAATGATTTTGAGATACGAAGACGTTATAATACATCTAATGAAAATGTTCCACGGAAATGTGCATATGAAAATCATAACTGGTACGCAACGCAGATCGGTAGAAATTGTAAGATAAATTGTCATTCCACATGAGAAAGTTTGCCGAGTCCTCGTGTAGCCTATTACTGGCAACTTCAGGAGAGTAACGGCAGAATCTGTGAAAGCCAGTAGGAGCGGGTGGAGGATGGTCAGGACAGGTTAATGTTTTTTTCTTCTGGTTATCTTGATTTCTGGCTCCCTCTTGAGTCATTTGTGTATTATTTCATCAAACAGTTAGCTTAAAGCATCAGACAAGCTCAATGCATATATTTATTAAAACACATAGGATGTGTCTATAAATGGAAAAATACACAACTTTTGGTTGAACAAGATTTGTTTTAGTTGGGGACAGCCCTATAAAGGATTCCCATATGGGTATAAATTACTGCTAAAGGACAATAGGACACACAAGCGAGTATAAATTAGTTAACAGTTGAGTCATCTACTTTATGAAATTACGGCCTGATATGCTCGCGTCGGTGAATTCAAAGTCAATTGCGCTGCTTTCATGTGTCACATTTACAGTGCAGAGGAGGCCTATTACAGCAATATTTGAGCAGTAGCTTAGGCTGGCTACTCAACTACAAGACATTTTGAGTGCACCATACAGCAATGCTGCATTCATCCGCATTACATGTTTTAAGTTTAAATGTTACAACCTAGCTACGTTTTTGATATTTGAAGTTATTAAATACTTTTTGATTAGGGTCGCAGCATATTATGCACATCTGCAAGCATAGCAGCAAAGGCTGGACAAATATTATTTATCTCTTCTTTTGTTTTAATATGTTAAAATGCTATATACAGCATCCTATGTAGATAAGTGGACATTATAAAGGGCCATATTTTTTTCTAATAAAACAATGGCCAGTTTGAGTCGCAATTGTAGGCCTATGCACGTTTTTTTGTTAAGTTGACAGTCCCAGAAATCGGGCACTAGAATTACTTTAAAAAATATGTACACTACAGGTCAAAAGTTTTAGAACACCTACTCATTCAAGGGTTTTTCTTGATTTTTTACTATTTTCTACATTGTAGAATAATAGTGAAGACATCAAAACTATGAAATAACACATATGGAATCATGTAGTAACCAAAAAAGTGTTAAACAAATCAAAATATATTTTATATTTGAGATTCTTCAAATAGCCACCCTTTACCTTGATGACAGCTTTGCACACTCTTGTCATTCTCTCAACCAGGTTCACCTGGAATGCTTTTCCAACAGTCTTGAAGGAGTTCCCACATATGCTGAGCACTTGTTGGCTGCTTTTACTTCACTCTGCGGTCCGACTCATCCCAAACCATCTCAATTTGGTTGAGGTCAGGGGATTGTGGAGGCCAGGTCATCTGATGGAGCACTCCATCACTCTCCTTCTTGGTAAAATAGTCCTTAAACAGCCTGGAGGTGTGTTGGGTCATTGTCCTGTTGAAAAACAAATGATAGTCCCACTAAGCCCAAACCAGATAGGATGGCGTATCGCTGCAGAATGCTGTGGTAGCCATGCTGGTTAAGTGTGCCTTGAATTCTAAATAAATCACAGACAGTGTCACCAGCAAAGCAACCCCACACCATAACACCTCCTCCTCCATGCTTTACGGTGGGAAATACACATGCGGAGATAATCCGTTCACCCACACCGCGTCTCACAAAGACACTGCGGTTGGAACCAAAAATCTCCAATGTGGATTCCAGACCAAAGGACACATTTCCACCAGTCTAATGTCCATTGCTCGTGTTTCTTGGCCCAAGCAAGTCTCTTCTTCTTATTGGTGTCCTTTAGTAGTGGTTTCTTTGCAGCAATTCGACCATGAAGACCTGATTCACACAGTTTCCTCTGAACAGTTGATGTTGAGATGTGTCTGTTACTTGAACTCTGTGAAGCATTTATTTGGGCTACAATTTCTGAGGCTGGTAACTCTAATGAACCTATCCTCTGCAGCAGAGGTAACTCTGGGTCTTCCATTCATGTGGCGGTCCTCATGAGAGCCAGTTTCATCATAGCGCTTGATGTTTTCGCCTAACAGATATGGGAGTTTATCAATGTTTGATTTGTTTTCAAATTCTTTATGAGTCTGTGTGATCTGTGGGAAATATGTGTCTCTAGTGTGGTCATACATTTGTCAGGAGGTTAGGAAGTGTAGCTCAGTTTCCACCTTTTGTGGGCAGTGGGCACATAGCCTGTCATCTCTCGAGAGCCAGGTCTGCCAATGGCGGCCTCTCTCAGTAGCAAGGCTATGCTCACTGAGTCTGTACATAGTCAAGGATTTTATTAATTTAGGGTCAGTCACAGTGGTCAGGTATTCTGCCACTGTGTACTCTCGGTTTAGTGCCAGAGAGCATTCCAATGTGCTCTGTTTTTCCAGTGTGTCAAATAGTTATCATTTTGCTTTCTCATAATGTGGTTGGGTCTAAATGTGTTTCTGTCCTGTGGTTCTGGCTGGCTGGGTAGACTCTTCTCTAGGCTCATCTCTCTGCAGGTGAGGGCTTTGTGGTGGAATGTGTGGGCATCACTTCCTTTTAGGTGGTTGTAGAATTTAACAGCTCTTTTCTGGATTTTGATAACTAGCGGGTATAGTCCTAATTCTGCTCTGCGTGCATTGTTTTGGGTTTTGCGTTGTACACAAAGTATATTTTTGAAGAATTCTGCATGCAGAGTCTCAATTGGGTGTTTGTCCCATTTTGTGTCCCACTTTCTCTCTCTCTCTCTCTCTCTGGCTGTGTGTATCTCTTGTTATGTTATTAAGATGACAAGAAATAGTAGGATAAGCCATCGGCAGCACTGATAATCCTCCTGTTGTGCAGGCCACCTGCCAGCTACTCCGATGCTCAAATTGATTGAGTAATTCTGTCATATGAATGGACCTGTGTTGCTAGTAGACGCGTTATGATCAAATCAGCTACTCTTTCATCCACAAAGTCTTTAGAAGGAGTGAGGAGGCAGACCAATATTTGTTATGAAGACAATTTGTGCCAGTGTGTAGATGTCGTGTGTTGATGCAAATGAGACACCTCAAGGCCCCACCACGTGTAGTCTCCCGAGTGGCGCAATGGTCTAAGGCACTGCATCACAGTGCTAGCTGTGCCACTAGAGATCCTGGTTTGAATCCAGGCTCTGTCATAGCCGGCCGTGACTGGGAGACCCTTGGGGCGGCGCACAATTGGCCCAGCGTCGTCCAGGGTAGGGGAGGGAATGGCTGGCAGGGATGTAGCTCAGTTGGTAGAGCATGGCGTTTGCCGTGGGTTCGTTTCCCATGGGGGGGCAGTATGAAGAATAATGTATGCGCTCACTAACTGTAAGTCGCTCTGGATAAGAGCGTCTGCTAAATGACTAAAATGTAAAAATGTGCAGCAGGAATCTCATTATTATTATGATTTTTCATGTAATTAATAAATGAACCTCCCACCACATTAATTCAAGAATGCTGTCAGCCTCTAATGAAATTGGGCTTATTTTGTGGATGACGAAACAAATATAGGCCTAGACGTTTTAATTATTTGATTATTTATCAATAGTATTTAGCCAAACCGTTACCATACAATTGTCCTTGTACAGTATAATAGTCTACATTCCTTGTTGACCTTCCGTTTGAACATTATGTTAATTTCACCACAAGTTACACAAAGAAACATGCGTCATTGGCATCATTGATGTCGTATTTTGATAAAAACAGGACATTTCTTTATCAAATGCTACTTTGAGAGCATGACTCATCATGATTAGGCTTATTTCACAAATGAAGTGTACTTCATCAAGCCTGTCCTATGGCACACTTCTCTTGCCAGTTCACAAACTTGACATTTGTGCTGTGATGATGGGATATTTGAAGGTGTCCGTCACTCCAAGGGGGCCTCTGTGTGTGCGTTCCATGCCTGTTAAATTGATGAAACCCAGTGGTGCGCAACACGCTCGTGTTTCAGCAAGCAGGTGGCAGCGGTACTCTGTCCAGCAAGCCTTTGTCCAGCCGTACCTACTGTAATGTCAACCCAGGTCACCTGTCCGTCTGCTGGCTGTTGCGTTGACATCTGCTTGTGACCCCCTCGGTCAAATTACCCACAGGGCACAGACGTCAGTTCAACATCTAGTTTTGATTTACATTTGGTTGAGTTGTCAACTAACGTGAATTCAACATGAAATGAAGAAAAAAAATCACCATGTCATTGGATTTAGGTTAAAAGTTGGGTGAAGAAAACACTAAATGTTGATTAATTTTACGTTGATTAATTTGTGCAAATACAATTAGTTTTCCACATTGATTCAACGTCATCACATAGATTTTTTGGGGTAGAAATGACATGGAAACAATGTTGATTCAACCAGTTTTTGCTCAGTGGGTAAAACATTGCCTTGTTAATTATTAACATCAGCAAAATTGGGCATCAAAATTCTGTTGTTTGCTGGGCTATTGACCTTCCACTGTGTTGAACCAACTCATTTAATTTTTATATTTTGGGGATCATTTGTGAGAAGGAGGCAGTGAGACTTTAAAGAAAGTATCACTGCCTCCTCACAAATGATCCAAAAAATATAAAAATTAAATAAAGTTGGTTCAACACAGTGGCGGGTCATTTTGACCCTAGGACAACGGGAGAGTTAAAAAAAAATCCCTTGTCCTTGGCGATAACAAGCATACCCATAACATGATGCAGCCACCACCATGCTTGAAAATATAAAGAGTGGTACTCAGTGATTGTTGGATTTGTCCCAAACATAACGCTTTGTATTCAGGACATAAAGTTCATTTCTTTGCCACGTTTTGCAGTTTGACTTTAGTGCTTTATTGCAAACAGGATGCATGTTTTGGAATATTTTTTATTCTGTCCAGGCATCCTTCTTTTCACTCTGTCATTGAGGTTAGTATTGTGGAGTAACAACAATGTTGTTGATCCATCCTCAGTTTTCTCCTATCACAGACATTAAACTCTGTAACTGTTTTAAAGTCACCATTGGCCTCATGGTGAAATCCGACAACTTAGTTAGGAAGGACGCCTGTATCTTTGTTGTGACTGGGTGTATTGATACACCATCTAAAGTGTAATGAATAACTTCACCATGCTCAAAGGGATATTCAATGTCTGCTTTTTTTATTTTCTTACCCATCTACCAATAGGTGCACTTCTTTGGAAAGCATTGGAAAACCTGCCTGATCTTTGTGGCTGAATCTGGATTTGAAATTCACTGCTCGACTCAGGGGCCTTACAGATAATTGTATGTTTTTTTTATTTATTTCACCTTTATTTAACCAGGTAAGCCAGTTGAGAACAAGTTCTCATTTACAACTGCGACCTGGCCAAGATAAAGCAAAGCAGAGCGATAAAAACAACAACAACACAGAGTTACACATGGAATAAACAAAACATACAGTCAATAACACAATAGAAAATCTATATACAGTGTGTGCAAATGTAGTAAGTTATGGAGGTAAGGCAATAAATAGGCCATAGTGCAAAATAATTACTATTTAGTATTAACACTGGAGTGATAGATGTGCAGAAGATGATGTGCAAATAGAGGTACTGGGGTGCAAATGAGCAAAATAAATAACCATGTAAATAACAATATGGGGATGAGGTAGTTGGGTGGGCTAATTACAGATGGGCTGTGTACAGGTGCAGTGATCGGTAAGCTGCTCTGACAACTGATGCTTAATGTTAGTGAGGGAGGTAAGTGTCTCCAGCATTAGATATTTTTGCAGTTCGTTCCAGTCATTTGCAGCAGAGAACTGGAAGGAATGGCGGCCAAAGGAGGTGTTGGCTTTGGGGATGACCAGTGAGATATACAGTTGAAGTCAGAAGTTTACATACACCTTAGCCAAATAAATTAAACTCAGTTTTGTCACAATTCCTGACATGTAATCCTAGTAAAACATTCCCTGTCTTAGGTCAGTTAGGATCACCACTTTATTTTAAGAATGTGAAATGTCAGAATAATAGTAGAGAGAATGATTTATTTCAGCTTTTATTTCTTTCATCACATTCCCAGTGGGTCAGAAGTTTACATACACTCAATTAGTATTTGGTAGCGTTCCCTTTAAATTATTTAACGTGGGTCAAACGTTTCGGGTAGCCTTCCACAAGCTTCCCACAATAAGTTGGGTGAATTTTGGCCCATTCCTCCTGACAGAGCTGGTGTAACTGAGTCAGGTTTGTAGGACTCCTTGCTCGCACACGCTTTTTAGGTTCTGCCCACAAATGTTCTATAGGAATGAGGTCAGGGCTTTGTGATGGCCACTCCAATACCTTGACTTTGTTGTCCTTAAGCCATTTTGCCACAACTTTGGAAGTATGCGTGGGGTCATTGTCCATTTGGAAGACCCATTTGCGACCAAGCTTTAACTTCCTGACTGATGTCTTGACATGTTGCTTCCATATATCCACATAATTTTCCTTCATCATGATGCCATCTATTTTGTGAAGTGCACCAGTCCCTCCTGCAGCAAAGCACCCCCACAGCATGATGTTGCCACCCCCGTGCTTCACGGTTGGGATGGTGTTCTTCGGCTTGCAAGCTACCCCCTTTTTCCTCCAAACATAACGATGGTCATTATGGCCAAACAGTTCTATTTTTGTTTCATCAGACCAGAGGACATTTCTCCAAAAAGTATGATCTTTGTCCCCATGTGCAGTACCTGTTTCCTCCAGCATCCTCACAAGGTCCTTTGCTGTTGTTCTGGGATTGATTTGCACTTTTCGCACCAAAGTACGTTCATCTCTAGGAGACAGAACGCGTCTCCTTCCTGAGCAGTATGACGGCTACGTGGTCCCATGGTGTTTATACTTGCGTACTATTGTTTGTACAGATGAACGTGGTACCTTCAGGCATTTGGAAATTGCTCCCAAGGATGAACCAGACTTGTGGAGGTCTACACATTTTCCCTGAGGTCTTGGCTGATTTCTTTTGATTTTCCCATGATGTCAAGCAAAGAGGCACTGAGTTTGAAGGTAGGCCTTGAAATAAAAAATGTTTTGTGCCATTCTAAGTAAACAATTATTCCACCCATAGGCTATATGTAAAGACCAGATTAAATTAAGAATAGTCTGATGGGTGAGAATATTATCAAGTGCTTGTCAAATTATGAATGAGAGACTGATGAAGTGTCTGCAGCCTGCGCAAGAAACAGAGCAGAACTCATGCCTTTCATGTTACATTTTTCAAATCATAATTAGAGTCGCATCATGCAGCCTTAGAATGTATTAGAAATCAAAACATATAGCCTAACATTTGTATCACAACTAAAGTTGCATGAATAACTCTAAATTAAGCATAAAGGAGGACCTGTTTCTTTGTTAACTGCTCAACACAGAATAGCTCCACTTGGAGAAACCATCCTTTCTATTTTATTCAGCTATGTTCAATATTCTTCATACTATAAAATAGTTCCACGGAATTCTAAGCAAATCTCGTCTGCTAAATGAACTAGTGTAGCCCACAGCCATATGGCATAGCCAGATCAGGGCCTAACATAAGGAAAACTCAGAATATGTTATTGTAAGGGATGGTGTGAGGTATGTCCCAGGTGCGGTGCAGGATAGACAGTAGGCAGTAGGCAAGGATGGTGAAACAAGGATCTTTCCTGGTGGTCCAAAAGCCAGGATACAAAACAACGGACTATACACGAAACAAATGAGGAGCACATAGGTCTCCAAAAAACAGGCTGACAGCAAACAATACGAAACACTAACTCTGACTGGAAAAACACAATGACACAGGGAGAACACTTCTCGAGTACCTGTAACTCCGTCACGTGATCAGACACTGATACGTACTGCTTGACATCAAGGAACTAGCAGAGAAAACTGAGCAAGGGAACACAGGGAAGTGAGGGCATAAATACACAAGTGAATCAGATAGCCACAGGTGACACCAATAGGCATATAATTAGTCCCGACTGTGAGTGAGGAGGTGGCTATGGTTGTCGGAGGATGACACCTAGTGGGTCGCTCCGGAACTGCGACCCACTCCAGTAACAGTGCCCCCCCGACGAACATCCCCAGCTGTTCACCTCGGCGCCTCTGGGTGGAGGCGACGGAATGCTGTATCAACCCTGGGTCCAGAATGTCCCTCCTGGGCACCACGGACCGCTCCCCCAGCCCATAACCCTCCCAGTCCAACAGAAATAGGAGACCCCTCCCCACCCGCCGGCAGTCCAGGATCCGGTCCACCGTAAAAGCTGGCTGTCCTTTGACAAGGCGCTGCGGGGGAACAGGACGAGGAGGGGGAGCCAGGGGACAGGTGGCGACAGGCTTGAGGAGGGACACATGGAATGTGGGATGCACCCGCATGGTGGGGGGAAGTTGCAGGCGGTAGGTCACTGGGTTGACTTGCCGGACCACTCTGAATGGCCCGACGGGACGGCCGCCTCCTTCTTTTCTCGGGGAATAGGGGCGCTTGGGGATAGGCAGGGGTCGGAGCGGTTTGTAGGCTATGTGTTGAAGCCCGGAGATGCTCAACATGTTTATGTTAATTAACAGTCAATTACCGTGAGACCGGCAGTTATTTGCATGACAATCACTGGCTGACAAAAGTTAATGACCGCCACAGCCCTATGCCCTAGGATAGCATTTAGCATGTTTTCCTCTTAGGTGAGCCAGCCACTGTCTAGATCTAACATATTGACTGAATGTGAGCAATGAAGGAAAACAGAGATGAGTTCCAAAAGAGCACCTTGATTGAGTTCAAGTTCATCTCCACAAACAAAGTTCAGATGCATCTTAGTCCCGTGTAGCTCAGTTGGTAGAGCATGGCGTTTGCAACACCAGGGTTGTGGGTTCGTTTCCCACGGGGGACCAGTATGAAAAAAAATGTATGCACTCACTAACTGTAAGTCGTTCTGGATAAGAGCGTCTGCTAAATGACTAAAATGTACAAATGTAGATGTCTAAGCAGCTGTGGTTATTTGGCTGGATCTCTCAGTGGTCGTTGCTAGTTTGGGCTGTATGTGTTTAAGAGTTTTCCTCTGTCTTTCTTTTGTATAAATAGATGTCAGCTGGTACTGTGGTTGTTTTGATGTGTAGAGACCTCGTACAGAGAGCAGAGACATGGCAGGCGGTTGCTGAGTCACTCCATATGATGAGTCTGGTTGTGTGCTGCTAGCGATGCTTAGTCAGGGTCTGAACTGTGAAGTCCCTCTAATGGACGCTCAAGCATGAGTCACACAGACAGTATAAAACATTTACAGTAGAACAGCATACTGAAGCCCATAGCCCAATCAAGCTCACTTCACTACTTTAACACCCAACAGAATAGATGAAGATTCCTGTTAAGTTTACATTAGATAGGCCTACATTACAGAAGTATTACAGAAAGTCAGACCTTTTTTCGAACATACTTTGCTTTCTTTATTGTGTCCTCTACCTAGTCATCTCAAATGAAACTGTGGACAACTCAACGTTTCTCCATCTCTCCCATAAAATCAATAAGATCTCTAGGCTACACTTTCTGAAAGGGGATATTTGGAGAGGATGGATGCCTACTAGAAGTCAGCTGGGTCTACCACAGACAGCTACAGAATTGTGCTCCCTACCATCCATTGCCAAATTTCACTCTGTTGAATATCTACCATCTCACTTGTCATTCTTCACAGAGCCAGATAGTCACCATGCTGCTCGAAGGGCACGTTACCTGCACAGGAGGTTGGTGGCACCTTAACTGTGGAGAACAGGCTCGTGGTAATGGCTAGAGCGGTTGAGTTGAATGGTATCAAATTCATCAAACACATGGTTTCCAGGTGTTTGATGCTGTTCCATTCCGCTCCGTTCCGGACATTATTATGAGCCATTCCCTCAGCAGCCTCCTGTGGTTACCTGCCATGAGTTCACCTCTGTGTAAATAAAACCTGATACTCACACACTCACAGTATTCCTCCAGAAGGCTCATGTTGACAATCTACTTTCTTCAACATACCATCTCAGTTACCATTAGGAGACCACCTCAACTCAGCTGTCTGATCTGCCTAGTAGTCTAACTCTGATTACATAAAGTACATCTCTTGTCTGACTGCAGGGAAATACAGCTTTCTGGTTCTCAAAGATCCCTGATGCAACATCACAAGCCTCTGTTTGGACTTTATGCGCGATGCTAATGGAAAATGTATAGAACACGTTTTAGAATATAAACTAGGCAAACTGATACAGCTCTTTGGAAAGCCTACTACTATGAATTATTCAAAGTGTTGTAGCGTTGCACCCGTGGCTTCCTGGCAGCACACACACAGATTCTGCCCCGGAAACACACGCACACACATACACAACACATAATACACGTCACACACGTGTATTAGACTGTGACTTGTGTAATCACGGCAGTTCCCAATTAAATCATGCATGATGCTTAAGTTATGCATGAAGCAAATTACTGAATGAAGGCCATTGGCACTCTCTAGTCTGGCAAATTCGTCAGAAACGTACTCAGTGCATCAGCAAAGACATATTGTCCGTTACAGCACTGCAGTGCCCAACAAAACCCCACTCTACAAAATCACTAGACTTTGTCCTTGTAGGTTTGTGATGGCTTTTAAATAAAATATACACTTGCTTGTGATGAAGGAGAACAGGGACATTCGAAGGTCAAGCACCAGCAAATGTTATGGTAACTAGCTACTAGTGTGCTTCAGTAAGTAGCTCACTTTGAACCCTTAAGCTAGAATGACCTGAGGTTTTTACTATGGAACATATGGTCCCCATACATCATCAAATCAAATCAAATCAAATTTTATTGGTCACATGCGCCGAATACAACAGGTGCAGACATTACAGTGAAATGCTTACTTACAGCCCTTAACCAACAGTGCATTTATTTTAAACAAAAAAGTAAGAATAAAACAACAACAAAAAAGTGTTGAGAAAAAAAGAGCAGAAGTAAAAATATAGTGACAGTAGGGAAGCTATATATACAATAGAATAAAGTGACAGTAGGGAGGCTATATATACAGGGGGGTACCGTTGCATAGTCAATGTGCGGGGGCACCGGCTAGTTGAGGTAGTTGAGGTAATATGTACATGTGGGTAGAGTTAAAGTGACTATGCATAAATACTTAACAGAGTAGCAGCAGCGTAAAAAGGATGGGGTGGGGGGGCAGTGCAAATAGTCCGGGTAGCCATGATTAGCTGTTCAGGAGTCTTATGGCTTGGGGGTAGAAGCTGTTGAGAAGTCTTTTGGACCTAGACTTGGCACTCCGGTACCGCTTGCCGTGCGGTAGCAGAGAGAACAGTCTATGACTAGGGTGACTGGAGTCTTTGACAATTTTGAGGGCCTTCCTCTGACACCGCCTGGTATAGAGGTCCTGGATGGCAGGGAGCTTTGCCCCTGTGATGTACTGGGCCGTACGCACTACCCTCTGTAGTGCCTTGCGGTCAGAGGCCAAGCAGTTGCCATACCAGGCGGTGATGCAACCAGTCAGGATGCTCTCGATGGTGCAGCTGTAGAATTTTTTGAGGATCTGAGGACCCATGCCAAATCTTTTTAGTCTCCTGAGGGGGAATAGGCTTTGTCGTGCCCTCTTCACGACTGTCTTGGTGTGTTTGGACCATGATAGTTCGTTGGTGATGTGGACACCAAGGAACTTGAAGCTCTCAACCTGTTCCACTACAGCCCCGTCGATGAGAATGGGGGCGTGCTCAGTCCTCTTTTTTTTCCTGTAGTCCACAATCATCTCCTTTGTCTTGGTCACGTTGAGGGAGAGGTTGTTGTCCTGGCACCACACGGCCAGATCTCTGACCTCCTCCCTATAGGCTGTCTCATCGTTGTCGGTGATCAGGCCTACCACTGTTGTGTCGTCGGCAAACTTAATGATGGTGTTGGAGTCGTGCCTGGCCATGCAGTCATGGGTGAACAGAGAGTACAGGAGGGGACTGAGCACGCACCCCTGAGGGGCCCCCGTGTTGAGGATCAGTGTGGCAGATGTGTTGTTACCTACCCTTACCACCTGGGGGCGGCCCGTCAGGAAGTCCAGGATCCAGTTGCAGAGGGAGGTGTTTAGTCCCAGGATCCTTAGCTTAGTGATGAGCTTTGAGGGCACTATGGTGTTGAATGCTGAGCTGTAGTCAATGAATAGCATTCTCACGTAGGTGTTCCTCTTGTCCAGGTGGGAAAGGGCAGTGTGGAGTGCGATAGAGATTGCATCATCTGTGGATCTGTTGGGGCGGTATGCAAATTGGAGTGGGTCTAGGGTTTCTGGGATTATGCTGTTGATGTGAGCCATGACCAGTCTTTTTCATCATCCACACACAACATTAATTAGGCTATACAAGCAAATTGTATGATCATACACACAAATGGCATTATAGTACACCGTCACAAAATGTGCACTGAGAGATAACCTAACCCATTGTTCACTGCTGTGGATTACACTAAAGCTGTTCCATGAGGGTTCTGGGGATAACTTTTTTGTCATTGTTGTGTGCATCCATCCACACTGACTGTATCAATGGTTTGTTGATCTGAATTGATTTTTCCATTTTATAGCCACTTTGGCAAATGGTACTGCGTTAGTTAGACTAGTGATTAGCCTGACACCTAAGGCACTGTAGTGATTTTGTAGAAGTGCACACAATGTCGCAGCCTGTAATTGGTATTGTACATTTTATGTAACGTTGTTGGTTGGAGTCTTTTTGCACATAGCCTACTTTGAGTAGGCCGGTCTATCAGGCTTACAGTAAGTTGACATTTCATTATTTTCTAAATGCAATCCGTTACAGTTACTAGGTGCCTGTCCAGAATTGTAGCATAAGCCTAATCAGCAGTGTAACGTTTGGATTACCCAAAATCAGTAATGTAATTTGATTACTTTCAGTTACTTTTGGATTACTTCCCCCTTAAGAGGCATTAGAAGAAGACCAAAAGAATCCATCAAACACATTTGGTGTGTCATCATAGTGGTCTCTGATTGGTGGTCATCATAGTGGTCTCTGACTTGTGGTCAGACTCGCTCAGGTGGAACAAACTTAAACTTGCGCCTTTTTTCCGATGCTAAATTGAATGTCATTGAGAAAACAGAAAGGTGTCGTAATGTATTTTTATTTCAGCACACATCCTTTCTGAATGTAATAGTAATCCAAGAAGTAATCATCTAGTTTTTCCAAAAGTATCTGTAATCTGATTACCATATCTTTGCTGTTAACGTAACTGATTACACTCAAAGTTTTTTGTAATCTGATTACATGTAACTGATTAGGCCTACTCCCCAACCCTGACCACAACAGATGAAGAATAGATGTTGTGCCTTTAGTGTCCATTAATCATCCCATAACCTTTGCTCTAGAGGTGAGGATCAGGTTAGGCCCATATGGAGCCCTCCGATGAAAAATGGTAATCCTATATTATGTCCTTGGGACCATTCATGATTCGTCTCATTAATTTGTATGTTAATTATTGTCAGTCACAGATCAATGTTTATTCTAGGGAGAAAAGTAGCCTACTAATTAAGGCTAAAGAGCGTGACAGAACATATTTGAGACCATAGCTGTCCTATTGATGTGATGTAGGAAATGTCTATAATTATATGCCTGTGTGGAAATACCACCGTCGTTTTTCATCTTTGAGTCACTAGGCTAAATCTGTTGACTTTATCCAGTGTTGTTTGATTTGATCCTGCAATTTTGTTCAACATTTATAGCGTACTTTGTTCTCTGAAGAGTGATGGATGGCTTCCTTCCTGGTCATTTCCAAAGGTTGTTGTTGCCAAAACTCACTGGGCAAGAAAATGAAATGAAAAAGGTTCACTGTGTATCAACAACAAGTCTTCAATGAGAATGAGATCATATCGCTCTCTTAGTCAATTTGAAGAGCATGCTATTTTCCACAGTACTTTATGTGTCTCAATGATCATCAAATATTTCAGTGCAGTCTTAGTTAGGCTACTCAGTTTCTACAGATAACTTATCTGATCTATAATTTGCCATTATCAATGTTCATGTTTGATGTTGTTGTTTATTTTTCAGTAAACTGGTCTTCATTGGATCCCACCATGTTGGAAGAGTTTCAGGAAAAAGCATCAAGCTGGACTGAATCACCCTCAGCCTTATTAGTTTCACACACTGAGGCCTCTGAGCACCCAGACGAGACTACAACTACAGCGCTGCCTTCACCTGGTCACCTACCACCTGAATCTACACTAACACTTACTCAATGGGGTCTTTCAGCTTTTCAGAACTCCAAATCATTGACTTCTAGAGATCCCCTGCCCATTGGTCCAGACCCTCTCTCCACTCCCCCTTTAAGCTCCTCAGAGCATGTGATTGGCCTTCAGCAACAACCTAAAGGCCCTACCAGACTCTCAAGGGAGCTGAAGCTCTCTGGTCCTAACTCAACCATGGCAGTTGTCTCTCCAACCCTTGTTAAAGTACCACACCAGAAGCCTCTCGGACCACAGTCCAATACATCCACAACACCCTTGTATTTCTCTACAGCCACCAGTTGGACTACATCGGTACAGTTAATTGTCCCAAACTCTAATGAGAGAGCTCCAGATGAACCTCCATTATTATCCCCCAGCAACCAGCAAGACCCATCAAAACAGACAACTCCTGCATTTATGACTTCACTTCCTGTTGGACCCCTCGACCAGCCTAGACTGCCTGTTGACGATCTGGTAGATGTAGAAGCCCAGTCAGACCAAGCCAGGCCAGAGTCTAAACCTAATCCAGACGTGTCCCAGAGATTAGGAGATCTCTTGCTGGATTCCAAACTGCCCCTAGATCCCTCAAGTAGATTAATCTATCTGGATCACCTTCGCCCCAGCAGTGAGCTCATGCAGAAGGACAATGCTGTTCAAGATATCCACATGCTCCCGAAACCATCGCCTGAGATGCAGCTGGCTCCCAGTTACGTGCCTTTTCTGAGCCCTCACACCACGTCCTCCTCGGCCGAGCCCACCATGGTCCCTCCTGAGGACATCTTTCCCACCAACACCATGGAGGTGGACTGGGGCTCCGGAGACTTCATGGAGACCATGTCCTTCATGGGCTCGGAAGGGGATGACTTCTTCTTGGTCACCAACCTGCCCACGGACATGTACGACCTGGAGGACTCCAACGTGGAAAGCTACGACACCTCCTTCCCCTCCAGGGTCGGCGTGTCCTTCTCCTCGATGCGTCACATGACGTCTTCACCTAGTCTCACAACAACAGTTTACAGCTCTAGTGTTAGAAGTGTGGCACCCACGTCCGTTCCTCTCTCCATCCATCCCTCTCCCAGTCACCCCACGCTCGCCTCAAGACAAACACCAACACCTCAAGGTGGTTTACCAGAAGGTTCTGACGTTGACTGGACAGATAACTTCACAGTTGAACCAACAGACCTTCTCTTACCGGACATGAACAGCCTGGAGTACTACACCATCCAGCTGACCAAGGATGACTCAGAAGAACACAGAGGCACTAACGTGACCACCACCTCCAGGCATTTCTCCCTGATGTCCATCAGCACCACACACATCATGGCCACCAGCACCTTCACTGTGGACCTCAGCCACATGCTCACAGCCTTCTATGGAGTGGATGGAGTGGAGGTCCAGCCTTCTGACAACACTACCTGGATCGAAGAGTCCTCCACTGATATCTCCAGCTCAGAGCCACTCAATACGACCACAGCAGACCCCACAGAGATGACTCCTCTGAATGTCTCAGTGCCATTCCTGGAGCCTTCAGTAGCGCCAACCCCCTCCATGGACCTCTCGTCCTCTCTGTGGGGTGTCACTGGTCAGGTGTCCTCCGGTGAATGGACAAGCCCCGTGACCACCTCCAGTGTCGGACTGGACAGCAGCTCTGTCTTAGTGTCTGTGCAGCCTAGTGTTACGGCCTCTGAGACAGACATCCAGTGGTACGTCTCTCCCACCACCACAGAGACGGCCCTCCTCAGCACCTCTCTCGTAACTCCTGTGATGACCACCTCTATCGCCTTCTCCCCAGTTCCCGGCCAGACAGAATTACCACCCAATATCACTTCAGGCCCCACAGAACCAGCCACCAACGCCACCACCATCCCCCCGGTGTCAGTCATGGCTGACCAAGCCGTTGATACTGATAGTCCTGTCACAGCAGTGACCAACGACAGCCAGACTACAGTTAGCAGTGTAGACATCTCCACAACTGATCCTGCCACCACCACCACCACTACTACTACAACCATCACCACTGAGGCCTCTACAACCACCTCTCTGGCCACTACCACCACCACCACCCCCTCTTAAACAGAACTACTACTAAGAGCCCTCCTACAACCATAGGTCGCCAGTACCTCTGTAACGTCACCAAGCCTGTGTACTTTGTTAAAGTCGGTAAGTTGTATTACCTCTTTGTCGTATTAATATACTTTTTTAATGCAGAAACATTATGTGGAATGTCAACTTTATCAATGTTACTAAGATATAATTAACAACTCTGAAGTGTTATTCTTTCCCTTTTAGTATGAAAGTCATGGTTTGTGATGTAATGTTTTGACAATATTGTACACTAAATTAATCTAAAACAGCATTTATCAATGAGATGTACTACCTATGTGTGGTTCCACCCTCCTCTGCAGGTTTTCCGGCTGGGGCCACTGTTGGATATGCCAAATCCCAAATCCGAGATGTCCTGAAGACTGAATTCAATAAGTCAATTGAACTGCAGGTAGATTATCATGAAGGCAGCATGGGGCATTTTTTACATTTTAGTCATTTAGCAGATGCTCTTATCCAGAGCTACTTACAGTTAGTGAGTGCATACATTTTTTATACTGGCCCCCCGTGGGAAACGAACCCACAACCCTGGCGTTGCAAACGCCATGCTCTACCAACTGAGCTACACGGGACTATACATTTTTTTTCTGTTTGGTTTTACTGCAGTATTTTCTGGATCATTGGTAAATACATGTCCAAAGAATATCTCTCAGATATAGGACAGATAAATACATGTCTAAAAAATATCTCTCCGATATAGTACAGATAAATACATGTCCTAAAAATATCTCTCAGATATAGGACAAACACTTAGAACAAACTTCCTTTGGATTTGTTTTGGGGACTATCTGTTGTTCCATGTAGTGAATCTGTTATTCAATGCGTTTGTATTGGCTAATAGCAGTAAGGCCAAATGCAATGCTTAATCAATATATATATATAAATGTAAAAAATATATATATTTCAAGGGGTTTTAAAATTAAAAATCAAATAGCTAAATGTTCTTTGGTATGACCTTCTTAAAACAATTCCATATGTTAGCTTAGTAGACCTCCCCCCCCTTAGACAGGGCTTAGACTGTAGAGGGTTAATACAGTACTGCTGTATTTTTATTGGGGTTTATTCTTCACTTCAATACCTCAAATAAGAGTGAACTGAAAAAGCAGCCATTTTCTTCAGTCTTTACAGAGGTAAAGTTATGTTAGGCTATACAGTGCCTTCGGAAAGTATTCAGACCCCTTGACTTTTTTCCACATTTTGTTACGTTATAGCCTTATTCTTATTAATTTTTTTATAACCCATAATGACAAAGCGAAAACAGTTTTTTAGAAATTTTGGCAAATGTATTAAATATTAAAAACAGAAATACCTTATTTACATAAGTATTCAGACCCTTTGCTATGAGCTCAGGTGCATCCTGTTTCCATTGATAATCCTTGAGATGTTTCTACAACTTGATTGGAGTCCACCTGTGGTAAATTCAATTGATTGGACATGATCTGGAAAGGCACAGACCTGTCTATCTAAGGTCCCACAGTTAACAGTGCATGTCAGAGCAAAAACCAAGCCATGAGGTCGAAGGAATTGTCTGTAGAGCTCTGGGACAGGATTGTGTCGAGGCACAGATCTGGGGAAGGGTACCAAAACATTTCTGCAGCATTGAAGGTCCCCAAGAACACAGTGGCCTCCATCATTCTTAAATGGAAGAAGTTTGGAACCACCAGTTTGGCTGCCCGGCCAAACTGAGCAATCGGGGGAGAAGGGCTTTGGTCAGGGCGGTGGCCAAGAACCTGATGGTCACTCTGACAGAGCTCTAGAGTTCCTCTGTGGAGATGGGAGAACCTTCCAGAAGGACAACCATCTCTGCAGCACTCCACCAATCAGGCCTTTATGGTAGAGTGGCCAGACGGAAGCCACTCCTCAGTGAAAGGCACATTACAGCCCGCTTGGAGTTTGGCAAAAGGCACCTAAAGACTCTCAGACCATGAGAAACAAGATTCTCTGGTCTGATGAAACCAAGATTGAACTCTTTGGCCTGAATGCCAAACGTCACCTCTGGAGTAAACCTGGCACCATCCCTACGGTGAAGCATGGTGATGGCAGCATCATGCTGTTGGGATGTTTTTCAGCGGCAGGGACTGGGAGACTAGTCAGGATCGAGGCAAAGAAGAAGTACAGAGAGATCCTTGATGAAAACCTGCTCCAGAGCGCTCCGCACCTCAGACTGGGGCGAAGGTTCACCTTCCAACAGGACAACGACCCTAAGCACACAGCCAAGACAACGCAGGAGAGCCTTCGGGACAAGTCTCTGAATGTCCTTGAGTGGCCCAGCCAGAGCCCGGACTTGAACCTGATCGGACATCTCTGGAGAGACCTGAAAATAGCTGTGCCGCAACACTCCCCATCCAACCTGACAGAGCTTGAGAGGATTTGCAGAGAAGAATGGGAGAAACTCCCCAAATATAGGTGTGCCAAGCTTGTAGCGTCATACCCAATAATACTCAATGCTGTAATCGCTGCCAAAGGTGCTTCAACAAAGTACTGAGTAAAGGGTCTGAATTCTTATGTAAATGTAATATTTCCATTTTTTTGTTGTAATACATTTGCAAAAATTTATAAAAACCGTTTTTTGCTTTGTCATTATGGGGTATTGTGTGTAGATTGGTGAGGGAAAAAAACAATTTCATCAATTTTAGAATAAGGCTGTAACGTAACAAAATGTGGAAAAAGTCAAGGGGTCTGAAAACTTTCCTAAGGCACTGTAAATGAGCCCATAGACTTAGTCTGACAGAGCTAACCTCAAAGTGCTGGCACTGTTGTTAGCTTTTCATTAGAAAGCGCAGGCTCCCTAAGAAACCGCCTAACAGCTGCAACATGCTCTGAGTTTTAATCAAGCGCTAGGGAACTGCAGCTGTGGGTATGAGGCTGTTATGTTGTGTAATGGCACTGGTCATGTGTGTGGGGGTATTGGGATGGGACACACCAGGAAGGACAGCCCACTTCCTATGGACTCTTTATCTCCAGGCTCTTTGATAAACAAACAAGACTAATGACTAACTACACACCCAACACTTCATGGCCCAGCAGAGAGGCAGTGACCTTAAGACACTGTCTCTACCTTTAACGATTTAAATGTTGTACAGTGCAAAAGGAAAAAGTAGTGTGCATACAGTACCTCGTAGTTCAACCAAGGTGCCAGAATTGAGGAACAAACTGAATGTATAAGATATATTCATTTGTAGTCCTGTGTAGCTCAGTTGGTTCCCATGGGAGACCAGTACAAAAAAAAATGTATAAAAATGTATGCACTCACTACTGTAAGTTGCTCTGGATAAGTGTGTCTGCTCAATGAAGTGAAAATAAATAAGCACTTGGAGGATGGTAGAAATTGACAGAAAGACTGAATTTAAATACATCTAAGCTCCATCATTGAAAGTGAATGAATAACTCTAGGAGATAAATTATAATGATGTTTTTTCTGTGTCTTGTTAAAGGTTGCTAAGAATCCTCCAGACTTTGTGTTCCGGGCAGTGTCGGGTCCTGTGGTGTACACGGCCATATCAATCATCAACGCCCTGCGCCAGTCAAGTCGACGCTTCCTGTCCATCTCACACTACTGGAAGGTACCAGACCACCAGTACCAGGTACACTCAGGTAAGAGCACTATTTTGTATCGAACTATACAAGCTACTTTTGAAATGGAGATTTGAATAGTGCATATCCAGTATGTACTATGTTGTTAGGGTGTGTCTGAATGTAGACATAAATCTTCTCTTCTGTTTCCCCATCCAGTGCTGCAGTTTGTGCCCAGGCACATTGACGTGCGCGTCTGCAACTTCAGCGAGCGCATTGAGAAAGGCCTGACAATGGCGTACGCCGAAGTGCGCCGGCGCTCGCAGGAGTCCACGAACTTCACTGTGGATGTAAGTAGAGACTGACTGAATACAGTGTAGCACTCCAGTCAACTAGAACAGAGTTGAGCTTCCTCCTGGTCAACTAGAACAGAGTTGAGCTTCCTCCAGGCAACTAGAACAGAGTTGAGCTTCCTCCAGGCAACTAGAACAGAGTTGAGCTTCCTCCGGTCAACTAGAACAGAGTTGAGCTTCTTCTAATGCTCTGTTTTCATTAGCAGTCACGTACTCCTTCCTGGGTTTTCACCCCCAGTCCCAACTCCTTGGCACTGATCGTCTGGAATCACCTCTAATCGCAACCCATTTCTGTCAGGAACCCTTAGCTCACACATTTGTTATTACTAAAGACCACTGGCCGTGTACTTTAGCTATGCTCTTACTGCTAGAGCTCTCTAAGAGCAGCGTCTGCTGAAATAAATCTGGAAGTGGAAAGGAAAAGAGAGAAAAGCTCTGGTTTTCCAAGAGAGTCAGTTGGCTGAGGCCAAGAAATTAGAAAGAAAGTTAGAAACGAATTGGGTTACTGTATGCAAATGTAGGACATAGGCCCCTGAAACTCAACTCTGGACCCTGAAGCCAGTTCCACTGATTGTTTTCATTGTCCTCCTCTAATCAGGGACTGATTTAGACTTGGGTGCAATTAATTATCAGGCAGAACAGAAAACCAGCAGGCTCCGGACCACGTAGGTAAGAGTTGAAACCCCTGGTCTAGGCTATCTCTGCAGTCTTAATTGGCGCTGCTTGTTTGCTGACTTCGACAAACATAGACTGGGACTGCCTCTAACGATCGTTGCACCAGCAGTACGCTGATTGCAGCAGCAGTAGTGGCTTGCTTTGGATTGGAGAGAGAGAGAGGCAGGAGCTGCTTGACTTAAAGCTTGTGAAGCGACAGGGAGTAATGGCTGAAATGTATGGTTGCGTGACTGTGTGTTCTGCAGTAACACAACCTAAGTGCCAATCTCAGTCTCCAGCACACAAGTCTTTTGATCAGTGGTCACCCATTCAAGACCAAAATTACTAGCTTAGGTTTATTGATTCAGGTTTTTGCAGAGGTTGTCCACTATTCAAGTATACAGACGGTTGAGAAAGTGCTTATTTGGCTGTTCACGTTTGCCATTCTTGAATGTAGCAAGCCAAAAGGTTATGGAAAGTTTTCAGACATAGGTTTCATACTCAGTAAATTAACAGATTACACTGGATAATAAATTCATATCTGGAGAATGCCATTTTAATTATGTCTGGTCATTTAATTTTCAATTCCCTTTCTATTTCAATTCCGCAAATGAAATGAGATCCATCTGACCCAAGCTCTTCTGCTGTATATTCACACTGGTTGAATCAAAGTTGTTTCCACGTCATTTCACTGAAGTTACGTTAAAGGGTAACTCTCAACCCCAATTTCAGCCTTTGCCTAACCTCTTCAAATGTTAAAAAAATGCATTCAGGTGAGACGTTGTTGGTGGGGGGAATTGCTCATACATATTCATTGTGGGGGTGGGTAAACGTAGTTCTACCTGATCAACACTCTCACTAAATCGTACTTACCAGAAGTCCACTGGCACGCTCTGATAATAAAATGATGTGCATCGCGAGCAAGTACAGCTCTGGACAGTTAGCTTTCAGTTGTAAAGCACTGTGTTCTTGACATCTATTGACGCTTGCGGTTTAAGTTTGAATCCCCTATGGAGCGGCAAAATGTTTTGGTTGTAATGTAGACTCAGATTTATTGTGTTGGGAAGAAAATTGCAATCATCACCTTGAAAATGAAAATTAGGGGCTCAATTAAATCCGACCCGCATTTCAGTATTTACGCTGTAACTATTTTTCCAATAGTCAAATTAACTCACAGATTGGTCTTGGGTACTGTATAAAAACCTACAACTACTACCAGGGCGACCCCTCTCACAGGTATGATTTCACTTTTCAGAATTAGAAGTGTGTGGGCAGGGGATAAATATTGTAAAAAAAGTAAAAGACAACTGTCTCATTTGGGATTAGAACTCACAACCTTTGAATTATAAGGCAACTGTTTTAGCAGAATGTGCCACCAATCAGTCAGAAGTTATGGAAAAATACAACTAGTTGATATGACCACCATTGTGATCTAGTTCTTGTTACAATGGATGTAGCTACGAATATAAATGTTAATTCCCAATGGCCTACATGTTTTTTCCTTCGTAAAAGCACATAGATGTGTATGAAACGATAAGCTTTTTTTATTTATTTTGTGTAAAGTCAGTAGTCTAGTCAAAGAAGCATCATTAACATTTAACATTTAAGTCATTTAGCAGATGCTCTTATCCAGAGCGATTTACAAATTGGTGCGTTCAACTTAGGATAGCCAGTGGGACAACCACCCTTTTTTCCCTTCTTTTTTAAAATTGTTAAATGGGGAGGGGGGGGGGGGGATTACTGTTATACTATTCCAGGTATTCCTTAAAGAGGTAGGGTTTCAAGTGTCTCCGGAAGGTGGTCAGTGACTCCGCTGTCCTGGCATCGTGGGGGAGCTTGTTCCACCATTGGGGTGCCAGAGCAGCGAATAGCTTTGACTGGGCTGAGCGGGAACTGTGCTTCCGTAGAGGTAGGGGGGCTAGCAGGCCAGAGGTGGATAAACGTAGTGTCCTCGTTTGGGTGTAGGGTCTGATCAGCTCCGTAGGCAAGCACCATGGTTTTGTAGTAGATGCGAGCTTCAACTGGAAGCCAGTGGAGTGTGCGGAGGAGCGGGGTGACATGAGAGAACTTGGGAAGGTTTAACACCAGACGGGCTGCAGCGTTCTGGATAAATTGTAGGGGTTTAATGGCACAGGCAGGGAGCCCAGCCAACAGCGAGTTGCAGTAATCCAGACGGGAGATGACAAGTGCCTGGATTAGGACCTGTGCCGCTTTCTGTGTAAGGTAGGGTCGTACTCTGCGAAAGTTGTAGAGCATGAACCTGCAGGATCGGGTCGCCGCTTTGATGTTAGTGGAGAACGACAGGGTGTTGTCCAGGGTCACGCCAAGGTTCCTTGCACTCTGGGTGGAGGACACATTTACATTACATTTTAGTCATTTAGCAGAAGCTCTTATCCAGACAATGGAGTTGTCAACCGTGATGGCGAGATCATGGAGCGGGCAGTCCTTCCCCGGGAGGAAGAGCAGCTCCGTCTTGCCGAGGTTCAGCTTGAGGTGGTGATCCGACATCCACACTGATATGTCCGCCAGACATGCAGAGATGCGATTTGCCACCTGGTTATCAGAAGGGGGAAAGGAGAAAATTAATTGTGTGTCGTCTGCGTAGCAATGATAGGAGAGACAATGTGAGGATATGACAGAGCCAAGTGACTTGGTGTATAGACAGAGAATAGGAGAGGGCCTAGAACTGAGCCCTGGGGGACACCAGTGGTGAGAGCACGTGGTGCGGAGACAGATTCTCGTCACGCCACCTGGTAGGAGCGACCTGTCAGGTAGGACGCAATCCAAGAGTGAGCAGCGCCGGAGATGCCCAACTCGGAAATGGTGGAGAGGAGGATCTGATGGTTCACAGTATCAAAGGCAGCAGATAGGTCTAGAAGGATAAGAGCAGAGGAGAGAGAGTTAGCTGTAGCAGTGCGGAGAGCCTCCGTGACACAGAGAAGAGCAGTCTCAGTTGAATGACCAGTCTTGAAACCTGACTGGTTTGGATCAAGAAGGTCATTCTGAGAGAGATAGCAAGAGAGTTGGCTAAAGACGGCACGCTCAATAGTTTTGGAGAGAAAAGAAAGAAGGGATACTGGTCTGTAGTTGTTGACATCAGAGGGATCGAGTGTTGGTTTTTTGAGAAGGGGTGCAACTCTCGCTCTCTTGAAGACGGAAGGGACATAGCCAGCGGTCAAGGATGAGTTGATGAGCGAGGTGAGGGAAGGGAGAAGGTCACTGGAGATGGTCTGGAGAAGAGAGGGTAGCATAGGCTGAGATTAACTCTGCCTTGTTGGCCGCAGAACGGCAGTTCCAGAGGCTGCCGGAGACCTGGAACTCCACATGGGTCGTGCGCGCAGGGACCACCAGATTAGAGTGGCAGCAGCCACGCGGTGTGAACCGTTTGTATGGCCTGTGCAGAGAGGAGAGAACAGGGATAGACAGACACATAGTTGACAGGCTACAGAAAAGACTACAATAATGCAAAAGAGATTGGAATAAAATTAACTAAACATCTGGGGAAGCGAGAGAGCGGGGCCTCCCTCACTTACCTTTCACTGAAACACTCAAATATAACTCTCCCAACTTCCACTTTAGAAATTATAATTGTTGTAAACTACAGCGGTTCATTGTTTTCTAGGAATATACTCTAACTTAGTTTATTCAGCTAGCTAACTTGGTACAGTATTCTTCCATGAAAACCGCCCAGGGCACCGTATCCTATGACGCTATAGCTAACTAGAATGCTAGTATCCAATAACACACGGTTTAGCACCAATAATTGGTTACAACAAACTATCAATAGTGTGTTAACACACTAAACAGATCATTCGTGTCCGTGTCTAGTTCCTTTCATAACGCAGAAATAATTAAACGTTGGCTAGCTAGCACAAAGTCAGTCATGCTAGCTACACAAGTGGACTACACATCTCGGATGTTCAGAAAGTGAAGCTTTACGTTGCAAAATTCTCATTGACTAAAATGATATTGTATTTAGTTGCTACTGTACTGCTAGCTGGTAGTGTTGGTTAGCTAGCAATGGCTGCAGTGTTGACTTTGTTTGAAAAACAGCGTCGCTGCGAACGAATGTAGCTGGCTAGCTAACCTCGATAGTTTCTCTATACTACACCTTTATCTTTGATACAAAGACAACTATGTAGCTAGCTAACATTACACTAATCAAATCGTTCCATTGTAATTTAATGTGTGTCATATTACCTGCGGAGCGAAGTACAGCATGACTACTCACTCCAACTCCATCTCCACAGAGTATATTGGTCACACTCTACTTACCAAGACCATTGCTAAATAAGGCGCGCTGTCACTTGCTTTTATAGTAAGCCTTGAGGTGGTACCTCAAGCCTTGAGGTGGTATTTCACACCAAACCCCTCCCTTGAGATGATGTAGAGGCACTTTCTCAAGGTGCCTCTACATCATGATTTATATGGTGGAGTTGAACCGCTAGGGGCAAAGAGAGCTAGATTTACTACTAAAAGACCAAAATATATAACTTTTGCAACAAACTGTCAAAATGAAGACCAGAATTGATGTGTTTCACTAGAACTAAGCCTAAAACATCTGGTTTTCGGAAAAAAAAATTGTTTCCATGAAAGTTACTCTTTAAAACAAGGTGGTATAGACGTTAAATTGACGAACATCACTCTGCAGTGTGTGCTCAATAAACGTGGTTTATTGGTGACAAGGTTTGTTGTGCAGAGTCTCTTTTTTACCATTTACTGAACTTTTGATATCCATCACCAGCTCAAAGACGTGTGCATATGTAATATTTTCCTAGATTGTGAACATCACCATGAACCAGCCAAGTAGTCAGCAGAGGGAGCCGGTGGACGTGACCTTCGCGGTGCGTGGCGCCATTGGCTACCTGAAGGGGTCAGAGGTCAGCAACCACCTGAGGCTGCTCAACATGGTGGAGTTCAGCTACTACCTGGGCTTCCCTGTGCTGCAGATCGCAGAGCGTGAGTCTATTATCATACTGTAATAGATTGGGATTTTATGCAAAACGACACTCCTGTGAAGTTCCCTTAGGGAAAAATAAAGGTATTCTAATCAAATGTATTCTATTAGTCAATCTGCTTCACCTTCTATACACCTATTTATACCTCAATATAGAGTATTTTCAGGTTGTCTGTACTTGCCTGATTTCCCTCTCTTCTTTCCCAATAGCTTTCCACTACCCGGAGTTGAACACCACCCAGTTGCTTCGCTCGTCTTGGGTTAGAACAGGTATGCTTGCCAACACCTCTAACATTAAATCAGCATTTCCCAAACTCTGTCCTGGGGACCCAACGGGATGCACGTTTTGGTTGTTGGAATTATTAGTTCATTATTTGAATCAGCTGTGTGGTGCTAGGGAAAATACCAAAACGTGCACCCCTTGGGGTCCCCATGACTGACTTTGGGAAACGCTGCTTTTAAGTATTCCATCCAATCTAAATCTCAACTGCAGCGAGTGGATGGATTGAAAGACATACACATGCAGGGCCTATGTTCTGGCTGTGTGATTGGCTCTGTATTGCCTGTCCTGTGAGTGATATCATAACTCTCTGTTTCTTGTCCTTGACCAGTGTTGCTTGGTGTGCTGGACCAGGGGGTGGACGAGCGGACCTTCCGGGCCAAGATGGAACGTGGTGTGGCCCTGCTGCTAGGAGAGGTGCTGGGGGCGGCTAGGCGCACCAAGAGGGCCACCAGCGTGGGTAACCACAGTGTTCAGGTAACCACATCAGAGCAACTATACCCCTCAAATTCAAATGTTGGCCTTCCACTCCTTCTTTCATTGTTCCCCTCTAATCATGGACTGATTTAGACCTGGGACACCAGGTAGGTGCAATTCATTATCAGGTAGAACAGATAACCAGTAGTATTCCGGACCTCATAGGGTAAGTTTTGAATACCCCTGTACTATACTATACACAAGTAGATGTGTGTGTACAGTTTATCTGAGGTAAGGGTGACCTGAGTGTGTACTACACTCTTAGAAAAAAGGGTTCCAAAAGGGTTCTTCGGCTGTCTCCATAGGAGAACCCTTTTTGGTTCCAGGTAGAACCCTTTTTGGTTTCAGTTAGATCCCTTTTGGGTTCCATGTAGAACCCTCTGTGGAAAGGGTTCTACTTGGAATCCAAAAGGGTTCTACCTGGAACCCAAAAGGGTTCTCCTATGGGGACAGCTGAAGAACCCTTTTAGGTTCTAGATAACACCTTTTTTTCTAAAAGTGTACTGCTACTCAGAGACACATACAGTATAAGTCATAAACACACACACACACACACACACGCGTCTACACATGTCCGTGCACGCACACACACGCACACACTATGCATTACATTTGAGAATCAAATTACAGTTATCTCGTGCTGTGCTTGACCATAGCTCTAAGAACAGCAAGTACAGCTCTCACTCTGCGGTAATAACCCCTAGTCTAGGCTGCCCTAGGCACTGTGTTACTGAAGAGAGTAAGTCTGGGTCGTGTGTGATCTGACACAGAAAAACAACCTGGGTTCCCTCAGCCAGCCTCTAAACCACATCCAGTCTCCAAGTTTTTTAGAGTGGAATGATGAACAGTGTGTGGCACCACCTGAACCACCCCCTTCTAAAACACACACACGCACATACACACATGGGTTTATAATAACTCCAGCTGCCAGGCAGCGAGAGAGAGATAATTAATAATTTATCTGCTATTAGCAACTGGTGCACACAGCATTCGAGTAACGGGTCTTGAAAGAAAAACAATTTGACTTGGTGGTTGGTCTTTGAGTGGCTGGCGCTGTGATGAAAACTGTAGGTGGGGTTGCCATGGATACTTTGGCCTATCCTGTCCTCTGAATGTTGTTGTGAAGAGAGGGGAGAGAGGGGAGTAGAGCAGGTGCTGTGGAGCGCCACAAAAGGCAGAGCTTGATTAGTAAAGCAGTGGTGCTCTGGGTAGAAAAGACTACAAGCCCTTGATAATGAGTCTCGCTGTTCCGATTCATAGAGAGCTCACCACAAGGAATAATATCAACTGAATTAGTAGGAAGGAAGCTTTCACCAGTTGATGTGACTAACACTGTACTAGTCCACTCTGTTTGCAACCACATGCACCAATACCCCTTCTACAGACTACTGCTACATTATTATTGGGTAATGGTGAAAGAAAAGTAGAGGCAGAATGTAAACCACCTATTCCACATTTAAACCACTGGAAGCTAGTACCAGGCATTGTCACAGCAGAGCTACAGTGCCTTGCCAAAGTATTCAGACCCCTTGGATTTCTTCACCTTTTATTGTGTTACAAAGTGGGATTAAAATTGACTTAATTGACATTTTTTGGTCTACAATTTACAAAAAATACTCTATAATGTCGAAGTGGAAGAAAAATTCTAACATTTTTAAAAAGATTAATTAAAATATAGTCGTTGAAAAAGTGATCCGCTCCCTGAGTCAATACATTTTAGAAACACCTTTGGAATCGATTACAGCTGTGAGTCTTCTTGGGTAAGTCTATAAGAGCTTTGCACACCTGGATTGCGCAATATTTGCCCATTATTCCTAAAAACAAAAAGGTCAGCCAAACATAAGGCTTTGCATTCAGGCCCAAAAGTTTTGCACTATTACTTTAATGCCTTGTTGCATGTTTTGGAATATTTATATTCTGTATATTTGTGTTCTTCTTTTCATTATTGTAGAGTCACTACAATGTTGTTGATCCATCCTCCATTTCTCCCATCACAGCCATTGAACTCTGTAGCTGTTTTAAAATCACCAATGGCCTCATGGTGAAATCCCTGAGCAGTCTCATTCCTGTCCTGCAGCTCAGTTCAGAAGGACGACTGTATCTTTGATGTGTCTGGATGGTTTAATACATAATAGACAGCATCATTATTAACTAGACCATGCTTAAAGATATATTCAATTTCTGATTTGTTATTGTAACCCATCTACCAATCACTGCCCTTCTTTATGAGGCTTTCGAAAGCTCCCTGGTCTTTGTAGTTGAATCTGTCCTTGATATTCAATACTTGACTGAGGGACCATACAGATGTTATATGTATGGGGGAAAGAGGAAGGGTTAGTCATTCAAAAATCATGTCAACCCCTATTATTTCACACAGTGATCCATGTGTAGCCCCGTGTAGCTCAGTTGGTAGAGCATGGTGCTTGCAACGCCAGGGTTGTGGGTTCGTTTCCCACGGGGGGCCAGTATGAAAAAATGTATGCACTCACTAACTGTAAGTCGCTCTGGATAAGAGCATCTGCTAAATGACTAAAATGTAAATGTAACTTATTATATGATTTGTTAAGCCAGATGTTATTCCTGAACTAATTTAGGCTTGCCTAAACAAAGGGGCTGAATACTTATGCAACAACTATATTTTAGTTTTGATGTATCTTTGACATTACAGAGTATTATGTGTAGATTGGTCACAAAAAAATACAATTATCAATTTTAATCCCACTTTGTAACACAATACAATTGGAAGGAATCTAAGGGGTCTGAATACTTTTGCAAGGCACTGTATATAGTCTACAACTGCTGATATTAACAGTAACACACATCTTCTTCCCTCCAGATTGTGAGTACGACCATGCTGGTGGGAGCGGACCACCCCCTGGAAATTGTGTACTTTGTGGAGGGTCCCAGCGGGGAGCGGCAGCCTGCCATCACTACAGCCAACATGCTGAACCGCCTTGACGTGCAGAGGGCAGCCATCATACTGGGATACAGAGTGCAGGGCATCCTGGCTACACGTGAGTTTGAGTCTGCCATAGCCTGGTCCCAGATCACTTTATGCTGTCTTGACAACTCCTATGGTCTTGACATAGGAGTTAGCAAGACAGCACAAACTCATCTGGGACCAGGCTAAGTCTGCCTGCCCAGGCAGGGCTCACCTTTAATGGAGTTAAAATGAGCTGAGCTCAGTTGAATTATAATATGTATGAAGGAATGTTTTATTTTTTTATTTTTTTACCTTTATTTAACCAGGTAAGCCAGTTGAGAACAAGTTCTCATTTACAACTGCGACCTGGCCAAGATAAAGCAAAAGCAGTGCGATAAAAACAACAACACAGAGTTACATATGGGGTAAACAAAACATAAAGTCAAAAATACAACAGAACAAATATATACAGTGTGTGCGAATGTAGTAACTTATGGAGGTAAGGCAATAAATAGGCCATAGTGCAAAATAGTTACAATTTCGTATTAACACTGGAATGATAGATGTGCAAAAGATGATGTGCAAATAGAGATACTGGGGTGCAAATTAGCAAAATAAATAACAATATGGGGATGAGGTAGTTGGGTGGGCTAATTTCAGAAAGGCTGTGTACAGGTACAGTGATCGGTAAGCTGCTCTGACAACTGACGCTTAAAGTTAGTGAGGGAGATAAGAGTCTCCAGCTTCAGAGATTTTTGCAGTTCGTTCCAGTCATTGGCAGCAGAGAACTGGAAGGAATGGCGGAGCACCTAATCATAGTACAGTAAATCTGCAAAATAAAGAATTATACTGACTAATTGCTTTCTCAGTATATGTTGGTGTGTATTTATAGCAGTGTTTCAACTAATTACTAATTACAATATTGCATGCTTTCTCAAACAGCTGTAACTGTATATGCATTCGTAAATCAGGTCCTTTCTTGAGTTGGGCTTTGGGATGTAACAACCGTTGAGCATCTGATCTTATGGTTGATTTTGGAGGAAAGGGGTTGAGTGTGTTAGAGTATGTGCGTGTGTGTGTATCCCACATCTGCTGCAAGGGGGAAAGGATGTTAGGGAGAATATAGGATGAACCACAATAATTGCTTGACAAAAATGTTATGTAATACAATGGCAATCCGGGTTATAGGTAACAATCCTACGCATGAACTGCTGACATTATTACGCATATTAATTGTTAATTGAAGATCCAAGATGGCATAGCAGTGCGGTCGAGTTCTTTGTTGTGTGTCTGGACCTCAGGGGGTGCCACAGGGTTCTATTCACGGGCTGACTCTATTCTCTGTGTATATCAATGATGTTGCTCTTGCTGCTGGTGAAGCTCGGATCCACCTCTATGCGGACGAAACCATTTTGTATACATCTGGCCCTTCATTGGACACTGTGTTAACAAACCTCCAAACGAGCTTCAACGCCATACAACACTCCTTCCGTAGCCTCCAACTACTCTTAAACACTAGTAAAACTAAATGTATGCTCTTCAACCGAACGCTGCTTGCACCCGCCCACCCGACTAGAATCACTACTCTCGGCGGGTCTGACCTAGAATATGTGGACAACTACAAATACCTAGGTGTCTGGTTAGACTGTAAACTCTCCTTCCAGACTCACATTAAGCATCTCCAATGAAAAGTTAGATCTAGAATCGGCTTCCTATTTTGCAACAAAGCCTCCTTCACTCATGCTGCCAAACATGCCCTCGTAAAACTGACTATCCTACCGATCCTTGACTTCGGCGATGTAATTTACAAAATAGCCTCCAACACTCTACTCAGCAAATTGGATGTAGTCTATCACAGTGCCATCCGTTTTGTCACCAAAGCCCCATATACTACCCACCATTGTGACCTGTACGCTCTTGTTGGCTGGCCCTCACTACATATTCGTCGCCAAACCCACTGGCTCCAGGTCATCTATAAATCACTGCTAGGCAAATCCCCGTCTTACCTTAGCTCACTGGTCACCATAGCAACACACACCGGTAGTCTGCGCTCCAGCAGGTATATCTCACTGGTGCCGCCGCCATTCCTTCCAGTTCTCTGCTGCCAATGACTGGAACGAACTGCAAAAATCTCTGAAGCTGGAGACTCTAATCTCCCTCACTAACTTTAAGCGTCAGTTGTCAGAGCAGCTTACCGATCAATGCACCTGTACACAGCCATTCTGAAATTAGCCCACCCAACTACCTCATCCCCATATTGTTATTTATTTTGATAATTTGCACCCCAGTATCTCTATTTGCACATCATCTTTTGCACATCTATCATTCCAGTGTTAATACGAAATTGTAACTATTTTGCACTATGGCCTATTTATTGCCTTACCTCCATAACTTACTACATTCGCACACACTGTATATATATTTTCTGTTTGTATTATTGACTATGTTTTGTTTACCCCATATGTAACTCTGTGTTGTTGTTTTTATCTCACTGCTTTGCTTTATCTTGGCCAGGTCGCAGTTGTAAATGAGAACTTGTTCTCAACTGGCTTACCTGGTTAAATAAAGGTGAAATAAAATAAAAAGAATGATGGAAATTAAGATATGCAAGATATTTGAATATATATATATTTTTAAATAGCTATGTACAGCTGTGGAAAAAATTAAGAGACCACTGCAAATGTTCCTTAAATCAGCATCTCTACATGTATGACAGCCATTCCATTCCAGCGTCTGTTGAATTCCAACACAGGCACACCTCATTCTACTGAATTAGGTACTGATTAGCTGATCACATGAACCAAATCTTATTTAACGAGGAAAAGTATAAAAACCACTGCTGTGGTCATCACTATCCGCTTGCAATAGGACCAGCTGGATGGCAAAAACAGTGCTAATAGTACCTCAAAAATAATATTAATCAAAAAATAACTATTGACCAAGCCAAAAGAGTTGAAAAGGAACGTTTTGAGTGAGGAAAAGAAAGGTTCAATTCTGGCTTTACTGGCAGAGTGATACAGTGAGCGTCAGGTTGCTTCCATCCTTAAAATTTCAAAGACGGCGGTTCATAAGAACAAGGTCAAGCAGCAGACATTGGGGACAACAAAACTACAGAGGGCGAAAACGACTCTCTACTGACCGGGATGACCGCCAACTCATTCTAATGTCACTCATTCTAATGTCACCCCAAAGGTGCGGACTGCGACCGCGCCACACAAACACAACAGGTTAGGGGCCGGGTGGGCATTCCGCCACCACTTTCTCTCCACCTCCCCGTTGCACCCCTGGTCTAGTCTGGCACCGCTGACTGGAGCTGGACCCGACGACGGTGGATCAAACCGTACAGGCTCCGGACTGGAGCCGCTGGCCGGAGCTGGACTGGGCACCGGTCGAGCGGATTGCTCTGGCTCCGGAGTGGATCCGCTGACTGGAGTTGGACCGGGCACCGGTGGAACAGGCACGGGCCGTGCCGGACTGGACACACGCACCACTGGCTTGGTGCGGGGAGCAGGAACGGGCCGGACCGGGCTGACGACGCGCACCACTGGCTTGGTGCAGGGAGCAGGAGCGGGCCGGACCAGGCTGACGACGCGCACCACTGGCTTGGTGCGGGGAGCAGGAACGGGCCGGACCGGGCTGACGACGCGCACCACTGGCTTGGTGCAGGGAGCAGGAATGGGCCGGACCGGGCTGGCGACGCGCACCACTGGCTTGGCGCGAGGGACAGGAACAGGCCGGACCGGGCTGGCAACGCGCACCACTGGCTTGGTGCGAGGGACAGGAACAGGCCGGGCTGGACTGGGAACACGCACCACTGGCTTGGTGCGGGGAGCAGGAACAGGCCGGACCGGGCTGGCGACGCGCACCACTGGCTTGGTGCGAGGGACAGGAACAGGCCGGACCGGGCTGGGAACACGCACCACTGGCTTGGTACGGGGAGCAGGAACAGGCCGGGCTTGACTGGGAACACGCACCACTGGCTTGGTGCGGGGAGCCGGAACGGGCCGGGCCGGACTGTGGAGGCGGACTGGAGGTCTGGAGCGGAGAGCTGACACAACCCGTCCTGGCTGAATGCCTACTTCCACACAATATGTGTGAGGCATCAGCACAGGACGTACGGGGCTGTGCACTCGTACTGGCGATACAGCACGTGGCACAGGCGCAGGATATACGGGACCGAGGAGGCGTACTGCAGGCCACGAGCGTTGAGCCGGCACACCCCGTCCTGGCTGAATGCCCAACTTAGCACGACACGTGCGTGGTGCTAGCACAGGACGTACAGGACTGTGCCGGAACACTCGCGGCACAGTACGTGGCTCCGCATAACACGGAGCCTGCCCAGTCACACGCTTCCTAGCATGAGTACGGGGAGTTGGCTCTGCTCTAACACTAGGCTCCGCCAACCACCCTTTTAGCCCCCCCCCCCCCCCAACATTTTTTTATTGGGGCTGTCTCTCGGGCTTCCTCCTCGGCCGGTACCCTCTGCGTTGCCGCTGCTCCTCTCTATAGCGCGCCTCCACAGTCTCCTCCCAAGGACGCCGATCCATTCCGGCCTGAATCTCTTCCCAAGTCCAGGATCCCTTCCCGTCCAGGATCTCCTCCCAAGTCCAGGCTGTCTGTTCCTGGACACGCTGCTTGGTCCTCTTTTGGTGGGATCTTCTGTCACGATCGTGTACGGATGAGACGGACCAAGGCGCAGCGTGATAAGCGTACATTTTATTTAGTACTTAACACGAACACAAAACAACAAACAAACGATACGTGAAGTCCTAGGTTACACAAAACAAACCTTTACGGAAAAAGATCCCACACCGACTAGTGCCAAACTGGCTGCCTAAGTATGGTCCCCAATCAGAGACAACGAGCTACAGCTGCCTCTGATTGGGAACCACCCTGGCCAACATAGATCAAAACGATCTAGAACCTACAACATAGAAAATATAATATAGAAACAAAATGTGCCTTTAGAGGCCGTGCAATTCAGTACTCATCTGGAAAACAAAAGCAATTTAGGTCAAAAGAGTCCATACTAACAAAGGAAATAGAAGGTCTAACAGAACAGATAGATAGCAATAAAAACTGTAACATAGAGGCTCAGAATAAATTAGAGGAAAAATAAAAATAAATGGAGAAACTTATTCAAGAAAGATCAAGTGTAATATATTATTAAAATAAAGTAAACTGGATGGAAAAATGCAGCAATTTCTTTTTTAATCTACAACATAGAAATGCTACCAAAAATAATTTACTGAAACTGATTACAAATGACGGAGTCACCTATGATTCACCAAATTATATTTTGAAGGAGAAAGCAAAGTACTTTAAGTATATGTTTTCATTTCATTTGCCTCAATCTCCTCTAACTGAAGCTAATTGTAGAGATTTTTTTCTATTGATAATGTAAAATTAACAGCCATACAGAAAGACTCATGTGAAGGTGAAATTAGGAGGAACTTCTGAATGCAATTAAAGACTTTAAGTCCGGGAAAACTCCAGGTATAGCGCATAGAATTAAAAAGGTATTGTTGGACATTATTCATTCTAATCAGACAGGTTTTTTACATGGACGATACATTGGAGATAATATAAGGCAAGTACTGGAAACAATAGAACACTATGAAAAATCTGGGAAACCAGGCCTACTATTCATAGCAGACTTTGAAAAGGCATTTGATAAAGTACGACTGGGGTTTATATATAAATGCCTGGAACATTTCAATTTTGGAGAATCTCTTATAAAATGGGTTAAAATCATGTATAGTAACCCTAGGTGTAAAATAGTAAATAATGGCTATTTCTCAGAAAGTTTTAAACTGTCAAGAGGAGTGAAACAAGGTTGTCCACTATCGGCATATCTATTTATTATGGCCATCGAAATGTTAGCTATTAAAATCAGATCCAACAATAATATCAAGGGATTAGAAATCCAGGGCTTAAAAAGAAAGGTGCCATTGTACGCTGATTATTCATGTTTTCTTTTAAATCCACAACTTGAATCCCTCCACAGCCTCATAGAGGATCTAGATAAATTTTCTAACCTCTTTGGATTACAACCAAATTATGATAAATGTACTATTTTACATATTGGATCACTAAAAAATAAAAATTTTACATTACCATGTAGTTTACCAATAAAATGGTCTGATGGTGATGTGGATATACTCAGAATACATATCCCAAATGAAATAAATGAGCTCACTCCAATACATTTTTATAGAAAGTTAGCAAAAATAGATAAGATCTTGCTACCATGGAAAGGTAAATACCTGTCAATTTGTGGAAAAAATCACCCTTTTTTTGCTCGCAAATATATATACAGTGAGGGAAAAAAGTATTTGATCCCCTGCTTATTTTGTACGTTTGCCCACTGACAAAGACATGATCAGTCTATAAATTTAATGGTAGGTTTATTTGAACAGTGAGAGACAGAATAACAACAACAAAATCCAGAAAAATGCATGACAAAAATGTTATAAATTGATTTGCATTTTAATGAGGGAAATAAGTATTTGACCCCTCTGCAAAACATGACTTAGTACTTGGTGGCAAAACCCTTGTTGGCAATCACAGAGGTCAGACGTTTCTTGTAGTTGGCCACCAGGTTTGCACACATCTCAGGAGGGATTTTGTCCCACTCCTCTTTGCAGATCTTCTCCAAGTCATTAAGGTTTCGAAGCTGACATTTGGCAACTAGAACCATCAGCTCCCTCCACAGATTTTCTATGGGATTAAGGTCTGGAGACTGGCTAGGCCACTCCAGGACCTTAATGTGCTTCTTCTTGAGCCACTCCTTTGTTGCCTTGGCCGTGTGTTTTGGGTCATTGTCATGCTGGAATACCCATCCACAACCCATTTTCAATGCCCTGGCTGAGGGAAGGAGGTTCTCACCCAAGATTTGACGGTACATGGCCCCGTCCATCGTCCTTTTGATGCGGTGAAGTTGTCCTGTCCCCTTAGCAGAAAAACACCCCCAAAGCATAATGCTCCCACCTCCATGTTTGACGGTGGGGATGGTGTTCTTGGGGTCATAGGCAGCATTCCTCGTCCTCCAAACACGGCGAGTTGAGTTGATGGCAAAGAGCTCGATTTTGGTCTCATCTGACCACAACACTTTCACCCAGTTCTCCTCTGAATCATTCAGATGTTCATTGGCAAACTTCAGACGGGCCTGTATATGTGCTTTCTTGAGCAGGGGGACCTTGCGGGTGCTGCAGGATTTCAGTCCTTCACGGCGTAGTGTGTTACCAATTGTTTTCTTGGTGACTATGGTCCCAGCTGCCTTGAGATCATTGACAAGATCCTCCCGTGTAGTTCTGGGCTGATTCCTCACCGTTCTCATTATCATTGCAACTCCACGAGGTGAGATCTTGCATGGAGCCCCAGGCCGAGGGAGATTGACAGTTCTTTTGTGTTTCTTCCATTTGCGAATAATAGCACCAACTGTTGTCACCTTCTCACCAAGCTGCTTGGCGATTGTCTTGTAGCCCATTCCAGCCTTGTGTAGGTCTACAATCTTGTCTGACATCCTTGGAGAGCTTTTTGGTCTTGGCCATGGTGGAGAGTTTGGAATCTGATTGATTGCTTCTGTGGACAGGTGTCTTTTTATACAGGTAACAAACTGATATTAGGAATACTCCCTTTAAGAGTGTGCTCCTAATCTCAGCTCATTACCTGTATAAAAGACACCTGAGAGCCAGACATCTTTCTTATTGAGAGGGGGTCAAATACTTATTTCCCTCATTAAAATGCAAATCAATTTATAACATTTTTGACATGTGTTTTTCAGGATTTTTTTGTTGTTATTCTGTCCCTCACTGTTCAAATAAACCTACCATTAAAATTATAGACCGATCATGTCTTTGTCAGTGGGCAAACGTACAAAATCCGCAGGGGATCAAATACTTTTTTAAGTATTTAGTCAGCCACCAATTGTGCAAGTTCTCCCACTTAAAAAGATGAGAGAGGCCTGTAATTTTCATCATAGGTACACGTCAACTATGACAGACAAAATGAGAGAAAAAAATCCAGAAAATCACATTGTAGGATTTTTAATGAATTTATTTGCAAATTATGGTGGAAAATAAGTATTTGGTCAATAACAAAAGTTTCTCAATACTTTGTTATATACCCTTTGTTGGCAATGACACAGGTCAAACGTTTTCTGTAAGTCTTCACAAGGTTTTCACACACTGTTGCTGGTATTTTGGCCCATTCCTCCATGCAGATCTCCTCTAGAGCAGTGATGTTTTGGGGCTGTCGCTGGGCAACATGGACTTTCAACTCCCTCCAAAGATTTTCTATGGGGTTGAGATCTGGAGACTGGCTAGGCCACTCCAGGACCTTGAAATGCTTCTTACGAAGCCACTCCTTCGTTGCCCGGGCGGTGTGTTTGGGATCATTGTCATGCTGAAAGACCCAGCCACGTTTCATCATCAATGCCCTTGCTGTTGGAAGGAGGTTTTCACTCAAAATCTCACGATACATGGCCCCATTCATTCTTTCCTTTACACGGATCAGTCGTCCTGGTCCCTTTGCAGAAAAAACAGCCCCAAAGCATGATGTTTCCACCCCCATGCTTCACAGTAGGTATGGTGTTCTTTGGATGCAACTCAGCATTCTTTGTCCTCCAAACACGACGAGTTGAGTTTTTACCAAAAAGTTCTATTTTGTTTTCATCTGACCATATGACATTCTCCCAATCCTCTTCTGGATCATCCAAATGCACTCTAGCAAACTTCAGACGGGCCTGGACATGTACTGGCTTAAGCAGGGGGACACGTCTGCACTGCAGGATTTGAGTCCCTGGCGGCGTAGTGTGTTACTGATGGTAGGCTTTGTTACTTTGGTCCCAGCTCTCTGCAGGTCATTCACTAGGTCCCCCCATGTGGTTCTGGGATTTTTGCTCACCGTTCTTGTGATCATTTTGACCCCACGGGGTGAGATCTTGCGTGGAGCCCCAGATCGAGGGAGATTATCAGTGGTCTTGTATGTCTTCCATTTCCTAATAATTGCTCCCACAGTTGATTTCTTCAAACCAAGCTGCTTACCTATTGCAGATTCAGTCTTTCCAGCCTGGTGCAGGTCTACAATTTTGTTTCTGGTGTCCTTTGACAGCTCTTTGGTCTTGGCCATAGTGGAGTTTGGAGTGTGACTGTTTAAGGTTGTGGACAGGTGTCTTTTATACTGATAACAAGTTCAAACAGGTACCATTAATACAGGTAACGAGTGGGGACAGAGGAGCCTCTTAAAGAAGAAGTTACAGGTCTGTGAGAGCCAGAAATCTTGCTTGTTTGTAGGTGACCAAATACTTATTTTCCACCATAATTTGCATATAAATTCATTAAAAATCCTACAATGTGATTTTCTGTATTTTTTCTCCTCAATTTGTCTGTCATAGTTGACGTGTACCTATGATGAAAATTACAGGCCTCTCTCATCTTTTTAAGTGGGAGAACTTGCACAATTGGTGGCTGACTAAATACTTTTTTTCCCCACTGTATATATATAGATATATATTTGCGAGCAAAAAAACATATATGGGATTGGAAGTGATGCAGACAATTACAAGTTACAATCTATATGCAATATTAAAGCTGATCTACCCCCTATAAAAAAAAAACGAATTACTTTATCCTATAGACTGCGCCAAATGCCTATCCACCTCATTATATATCCATGTTCGGGATGAAAGCCTAACTAACACACAGAGCACCTCAGGGGACTTCTGTCCCTGCTTCATGACTGCTCTTATGGCAGCTGAGGGTTCTCCCAAGGGATACAACAAGCCTTAATTAAGCCTAATCAAGTCACTTCATTGCAGCAGAAGAACCGACAGCCTAAAGATGTTGTGTGTACCATGCAGTGCATCTACTGTAGCTGTTTATAAATGAACTTGGTGTGGAAGTTTGGATTTCTGATGAGGATGGGGATATATAAACACAGACAGATGCACACACACACACACACACACACACACTCACAGACAGACACACACAGACAGGCAGGCAGACACATGCATGTAATTGCACATACATGATGTACACACACTCCATGATGTTCTATATCATTTTATATGTTAAGTATGTCTCTATGGCCCTCTCCCTCTGTCCTGTAGCTGTGGAGAAGGTGGCGGGGTACCCTCCCCCGGACACGGAGAACACCAGCATGTGGATCATCATCGGTGTGGTGGTGCCTCTAGGCGTGGTCATCGTCATCATCTCCATCCTCTACTGGAAGCTGTGTCGCACCGACAAGCTGGAGTTCCAGCCTGACGCCATGACCACTGTCCAGCAGAGACAGAAGGTGATCAAAAATCAAATACAAATAAGAGACAGAAGGTGAGGGAGGAGATGAGGAGGGACGATGGGCCAAGAGCATGGTCCGAGAGTCCCCCGTTTCTCTATGTGTGTTTCTTCACCTCTTTTAACCTGCTTTCGTCTCTGGATGTGTTGGGTCTTACATGTTTATGTTGCCTGTCTCTTTGTCCATAATCACTGTCTTCTATGTCCGACTCTACACAGACTATGGGTTGTAGGATTACGGTTTCAGTCTTTTCTGTTCTGAACATGTTCTCACTGTATATATCCATCTACAGCACCTCTGTGCGTAGAACACTGAACTGTTAGTTATCTCTTACACTGACAGCAATTTTTCACACACAGCATGGAGAGATATGTGTTATCAGCCAGTCGGCTCCTCTGTGTCTCTCCACTGTTTGTGTTATACGGTTATCGCCCCTCTAAAGGACATATCTATATCTAGGCCTCTATATCTTCCTGGCAGTGCACTCCACTGGACCACTTCTTTTTCTCCATGTCTTTATGAGACACCCCTTCTTGTTATTATTGAAGGGCTGTAGTTCTCACTCTGTGAGGAGTTGTGGTAGTCTCAGGTTGGGTCTCTGGGGCAAATCCTACATTTAACTAAAATGTTTTGGTGTCAATGGGAGACTAAGTGAAAATGTGACTTCAGTGGGAGTTTAGCCCCTGTGCTGATAGGCTATACTGTATGGGAACTTAGAGTAGTAGTACTATCTCCCTCCCCTGCTGCCCAGTGATCCAGTGTCATAATGGAAAGGATCACATGCTCTCTATGTGGCAGCAGCCCATGCAGGAGAGAGGATCACAAGCTCCCTATGTGGCAGGCAGCCCAACAGTAATTGGCTCTCACTGCCGTAAGGCACAGCAGCTGTGTTCTTGCCCATGGCTGCCCCCGCAGCTCCACACAGCTCTGTAAGATCCCCCTGGCTGACAGCAACACACACGTACGCACACTCACATATACATATGCACGCGCACACACAGACACCCTGCATAATACACACTCATTGCTATCCAGACAACCAGGATCTGCTCTGCCTACTGCTGCTGCTGCTGGGGGCTGGCTTATGTCTATCCTTACACACACACACAGAGAGACGTAGGTGGCTGCCTCTCGTATACTGTTATTAGGGGTTATCCTGTCTCTCTGATGGATCAGTCTGTCTGGTCTGTCTGTGTTGTTATTAGGGGTTATCCTGTCTCTCTGTTGGATCAGTCTGTCTGGTCTGTCTGTGTTGTTATTAGGGGTTATCCTGTCTCTCTGTTGGATCAGTCTGTCTGGTCTGTCTGTGTTGTTATTAGGGGTTATCCTGTCTCTCTGTTGGATCAGTCTGTCTGGTCTGTCTGTGTTGTTATTAGGGGTTATCCTGTCTCTCTGTTGGATCAGTCTGTCTGGGCTGTCTGTGTTGTTATTAGGGGTTATCCTGTCTCTCTGATGGATCAGTCTGTCTGGTCTGTCTGTGTTGTTATTAGGGGTTATCCTGTCTCTCTGATGGATCAGTCTGTCTGGTCTGTCTGTGTTGTTATTAGGGGTTATCCTGTCTCTCTGATGGATCAGTCTGTCTGGGCTGTCTGTGTTGTTATTAGGGGTTATCCTGTCTCTCTGATGGATCAGTCTGTCTGGGCTGTCTGTGTTGTTATTAGGGGTTATCCTGTCTCTCTGATGGATCAGTCTGTCTGGGCTGTCTGTGTTGTTATTAGGGGTTATCCTGTCTCTCTGTTGGATCAGTCTGTCTGGTCTGTCTGTGTTGTTATTAGGGGTTATCCTGTCTCTCTGATGGATCAGTCTGTCTGGTCTGTCTGTGTTGTTATTAGGGGTTATCCTGTCTCTCTGATGGATCAGTCTGTCTGGGCTGTCTGTGTTGTTATTAGGGGTTATCCTGTCTCTCTGATGGATCAGTCTGTCTGGTCTGTCTGTGTTGTTATTAGGGGTTATCCTGTCTCTCTGTTGGATCAGTCTGTCTGGTCTGTCTGTGTTGTTATTAGGGGTTATCCTGTCTCTCTGTTGGATCAGTCTGTCTGGTCTGTCTGTGTTGTTATTAGGGGTTATCCTGTCTCTCTGATGGATCAGTCTGTCTGGTCTGTCTGTGTTGTTATTAGGGGTTATCCTGTCTCTCTGATGGATCAGTCTGTCTGGTCTGTCTGTGTTGTTATTAGGGGTTATCCTGTCTCTCTGATGGATCAGTCTGTCTGGTCTGTCTGTGTTGTTATTAGGGGTTATCCTGTCTCTCTGTTGGATCAGTCTGTCTGGTCTGTCTGTGTTGTTATTAGGGGTTATCCTGTCTCTCTGTTGGATCAGTCTGTCTGGTCTGTCTGTGTTGTTATTAGGGGTTATCCTGTCTCTCTGATGGATCAGTCTGTCTGGTCTGTCTGTGTTGTTATTAGGGGTTATCCTGTCTCTCTGATGGATCAGTCTGTCTGGTCTGTCTGTGTTGTTATTAGGGGTTATCCTGTCTCTCTGATGGATCAGTCTGTCTGGTCTGTCTGTGTTGTTATTAGGGGTTATCCTGTCTCTCTGATGGATCAGTCTGTCTGGTCTGTCTGTGTTGTTATTAGGGGTTATCCTGTCTCTCTGTTGGATCAGTCTGTCTGGTCTGTCTGTGTTGTTATTAGGGGTTATCCTGTCTCTCTGATGGATCAGTCTGTCTGGTCTGTCTGTGTTGTTATTAGGGGTTATCCTGTCTCTCTGATGGATCAGTCTGTCTGGTCTGTCTGTGTTGTTATTAGGGGTTATCCTGTCTCTCTGGTGGATCAGTCTGTCTGGTCTGTCTGTGTTGTTATTAGGGGTTATCCTGTCTCTCTGATGGATCAGTCTGTCTGGTCTGTCTGTGTTGTTATTAGGGGTTATCCTGTCTCTCTGATGGATCAGTCTGTCTGCCTTCTTTTCCTCCGCCTCCAACCTCTCCGTCCAACTGGGCCGTTTGGCTCCAGGGCTCATGCTGGAGTGAGGCAGCCGTACACTGATGTGCAGAAACATCTATCGTTCCCTACCTCTGCCTAATACCTCTTATCACCCACCCACCCACCCATCACATAACACATCCCCTCTGTCCACTTCTATTTCTTTTCCCTGTTTCTGTTCAGTCCACTCAATCGTTCAGGGAATCATCGTTCAGGGAATCAAGGTCTCCTCTTCCAATCAAGAGGCAAATAACCATTAGTGAGAGTGAGGAGGAAGAGGAAAAGGAGGAAGAAGAAGAGGAGGAGGAGGAAGATGAGGAAGAAGAGGAGGAGGAGGAAGATGAGAAAAAGGGGAAGGTACAGAGTAGAAGCTAGTAGTTTGTAGAACACCCTGAAGAGAATGGGTTGTGTAGTGTGTAGAGGACTTGAATCCATTGGTTGTTGTGAGTAGAGGATGGTAGCATATTGTCCCTGTACTAAAGGGGCAATGAAGTCCCATGGTAGTGAGTGGAACACCCAGAGACCTTGTCAACTCATCACATGTATCAATCTCCATCCACTACATCTGCTCAGGGGCCAAAGCTTCCTCCTCCCAAGCCAAAACCAAAGCAGAAAAGTGAGAGCTATGAGGAGGAAGAGGAGGAGGAGGAGGAAGAAGAAGAGGAGGAGGAGGAAGATGAGGAAGAAGAGGAGGAGGAGGAAGATGAGAAAAAGGGGAAGGTACAGAGTAGAAGCTAGTAGTTTGTAGAACACCCTGAAGAGAATGGGTTGTGTAGTGTGTAGAGGACTTGAATCCATTGGTTGTTGTGAGTAGAGGATGGTAGCATATTGTCCCTGTACTAAAGGGGCAATGAAGTCCCATGGTAGTGAGTGGAACACCCAGAGACCTTGTCAACTCATCACATGTATCAATCTCCATCCACTACATCTGCTCAGGGGCCAAAGCTTCCTCCTCCCAAGCCAAAACCAAAGCAGAAAAGTGAGAGCTATGAGGAGGAAGAGGAGGAGGAGGAGGAAGAAGAAGAGGAGGAGGAGGAAGAAGAGGAGGAGGAAGAGAAAAATGGGGAAAAATAAAACAGTGTTGAAAGGGAAGAAGGAAAAGCAGAAGGTACAATGAACCGTAGAAAGAAAGTAGTCCTCTCCCTATTAGACGTGTTTCCAGGCTTTAGAGAGCAGTTGGTCAGACACTGTGAATTCACCAGAGATGGTAGCTAGTTTGGCCCAGTCATGTTTTATAGAAAAACGAAGGATTTGTTGAGCACTTGTCTTCAATGTTTTTGATGCTTATCATCATTGCAGTTTTAGAAGTCTCATCCAAATAGGCCGTATATTGGATGGATACCATACTACCATACTATAATTAAGCAATAAGGCCCGAGGAGGTGTGGTATATGGCCAATATACCATGGCTAAGGGCTGTTCTTATGCAAGACGCAACGCGGAGTGGCTGGATACAGCCCTTAGCCATGGTAAATTGGCCATATATCGCAAACACCCGAGGTGCCTTATTGCTATTATAAACTGGTTACCAACTTAATTCGAGCAGTAAAAATAAATGTTTTGTCATACCCATGGTATACGGTCTGATATACCATGGCTGTTAGCCAATCAGCATTCAGGGCTCGAACCACCCAGTTTATAATGTACAGTATCAGTCTTTAGTAAGTACTGTAGTTCCCATTAGACTAGGCCAAGGTATTCAATATTTGTTTCTCTCTTTTGATTTCTCCCAACATAGTGAATAGCGTGTGAGTAGAATCAGTAGCATAGCCTAGATCTGTGTGGGGTGCGGGTGTTTTTATCTAGCTATTCAGTGAGTTGGTGACAGTAAGACCAGTGGATGCTTACTGCTTAGCATCCCCAGTTTATCATACTGGAGAGCTTTCCCTCTCAAAGACAAAGCTTATTTACATGCAGAATAGAGAGAGATAGAGAGAAACTGAGAGAAAGACAGAGAGAGAGAGAAGGAGAGAGGCAGAGCAGCACACAGCTTCTCAGTGGACCCAGTGGATTAGCAGGAAACGCACATCGCACAAGCCTCTCGTGAAGCCATCCATGTTTCGCTCCATCAGAGCAGTACGTTTTAGAGAAAGCTGTGTGATCCACCAGAATAATCAATTCCCATATGTCAATGTAATGTATGCTGTTGAGGGTTATAGTGTGGTACGGTGGCAGTGTCAACCAGTCTCCTCTTCTTCATTCAATATTCAATAAGGAATCCCTGTGACTTGACTGATTTCTTAACACCGGAAACCTACTTACTGCACACACATACATAACACAGCTCAGGTCTCTCTGTCTATCCCTGTGTTGTGAGACAGCCCCTGAGGCATTGGACTCCAGGGCACAGCACTCTGCTCGAACCCCCCTTGAAGAGAGCAGACAGACAGACAGACAGTCCTGTGTTTACCCCACTTTACTATCACTCTGCTTTTTATTCATTCATGCCTTTCTGACTCTCCCTGCGCTCTCCCCATCACCCAGTCAGCCCAGTCACTCACTACTCACTACCCCTCCATCGCTCTGTCACTTCGCTCGCTCGCTTCTCTCTCTCCTGAGGGGAAATGCAGCCTGCCTGGCCTACTTCTGTCCGTCTGTCCGTCTGTCTGTCTATCCTCCTCCCGCTGCGGTCGTATATCTGTCTGATGACACCTTCCCTCGGCTCTAAAAGCAGCTGGCAAATCAATGACTGTGATTTTTTTATTCTCCCTCTCACCCCCTCTCTCAATCACTCCATTTTCCCTGTTGCTATTATATATCCTCTTCCTCGCTCCCTCCACCCTCTGGTTATCTCTCTCTCCCTCCTCTCTCCATCCCTTCCTCCTCTTTGTGCCCTCTATCCTCCTCCTCCTCCTCCTCCTCCTCCTCCTCCTCCTCCTCCTCGTCAGCTCCAGGCTCCCAGTGTGAAGGGCTTTGACTTTGCCAAGCTGCACCTGGGCCAGCACAGTAAGGATGACATCATGGTAATCCAGGAGCCTGGCGCCCCCGGCCCTCCCCTGCCCAACCCCAGCGCCAAGGAAGCCGCCTCGGAGAACGGCGAGTTCCCCACCCCTAAGTCAAAGGGGACCTCCGTCTCCTCCACCAAGGCGTCCCGCAGCGCACGCAGACGGGGAAGGTCAGTAGCCCCCCCCCCACAGTGTGTGTATGTGGCTATGTAGCTCTGCCTCATTCACCTCAGGAGATTCTAGTAGACATGTTTTGAAAGATGTTCCATTCACAACAGCCAATCTTAATAAATTATTAATGCAATACGGTACATTAGACATTAGTCAAATAGTCTATATTTTGCATTAGTAGGTAATGGTTTTATATATTGTGATAGAGAATGGACGCTCTGACTGAAAGATAATTTATCCTCGCTAATTGCTTTAGCTAATAGCAGATCATTTAGGCTTGAATGCAGGAGTGGCAGTCAGCACTCTGAATCCAGTGGTGAGTGTGATAGTTTGCTGTCACATTGTCACTAATGTAGCGCATTAGAGTGGTAATGATTGAAAGAGAAGAGTTTATATCGACATTTCCTCGACTCTGGAGAGCTGTTCGACCAAGTTGGATAGGAATTTAATTATACTGTCAATGGGAATAATCCTAGTGATAGATTATAACAAAAAGCTTATTTCTTTCAAGAAAAAGCCATTACAAACGTATTTCCCCCTGGAATTGATTAATTAACAACTACTATTCATCCACTGTAGTTTTAATTCTATATAGTATATACAGCTTCAGAATAGTGTACACATGTGTACGCATGTTTGTGTGTGTGTGTGTGTGTGTGTGTGTGTGCGGGCTTGCGTGTTTGTACGAACATGACAAGTTTGTGTGTGTGTGTGTGTGTATGCACACTTACTGTACATGTGTGTGCACATGTACGTCTATTTGCTTCCGTGACACGTGTGTGTGTGTGGGTTTCCGGGGACAGGATCTCTCCATCGGACGGGGACTCCATGGTGAGCGCTGGGTCCAGTGATCGTGAGAGGGAGTCAACCGAGGAGAACCTGAGAGCCATCGCCACCCCAAACGACAGCAAGCAGGCCCGCAAGATCCCCATCAATGTTTTAAATGGCAAGTGTCCATGGCAACACTGGCTCACATCCATGCTCCAAGTACACAGAGAGAAGAGGAGGTGGGGCAGGGGAGCAGAGAGAAAGAGAGAAAGGCCAACGCATGTTGAGAGGAAAAACAAGGGAAATAGAGAAACAAGCAACTGATAGACAGAGCAGGAGCGAAGGAGAGACAGAGAGAGACAGAGAGCAAGAGAAGGGGGAGAGACAGAGTTAGCGTGATAGTGAGGGAGGTAGTGTGTCTGACAGCCTGTTGAAAGGCCTGTGTAATGCCCCTCTGGCCTGGTTGCTGGGTTGGACACTGTGCAGACAGAGACAGAGCCAATGCCAGCCAGGCACAGACAGAACCTGACTCACCACAGAGGAATGGCTCCAGCAGTACGATCTCACAGCACTTCCTCCTGCACTCTGCAGTACGTACACACACACAGACACACACACACACACATACAAACGCACTCACACACACACACACACACACTGTCGGACTCTCACACAGACACACACTCACACAGTCTCACAAACATGCACGCATAGTCGCGCGTGCACACACACACACACACACACACACACTACCTCTCAGAGCTGCTACTCAGCCTGCTAAATACAGGTTCCGTCCCTTCTCTCCACAGTCTAAACAGGCTTAGCTGAGGCCAGGAGACAAAACGTTATCAGCACTGGAATTCCTTCTTCTAAATGACCCTCAGCCTTCCCTCTGCTATGGATGGTCAAAGACCTGACATAGCACTCAGAGTAGTGTATACACACCAGTGATGATGTAGTGTAGAGCTATGTCAGACTCCTCCAGTATTGGCTCTATATTGCCTGGGTCTATCGCTGACGTAGTCCTGTAGAAATGGTAGGGATAGACTTTAGCCTATATGGATATATTCTAAACACAATTACCTTGTCATCCGTTTAACTTGAATCTTTCTGTCTGTCTGCTGTTTTCCCGTAACTGCACTTTCTCTGTCTTGTCTGTTGTGGCTTTCAGGGAAGAATAGAATTGGTAAGAGTTTTTCTTTCTGTCAGTTCGACTTCTGTCGGTGTTGAAGTAGACATGAGGCTTTTGTGACTTGTAGCTGCTGTCTGTGTGACTGTGATGTGTCGTCCATTTTGTTGTGATTGCTTTGTGTCGTGCTTCTCATCAATCATCACTATTCAGATGTCAGATGTGTCGTCCCAGAGATGGGGAGCAATGAATGTTCTTGAACAACAGTAGTTTTAACGTTAGCTTTGCCATGAACTTGCCTTTTTCTTGTTGTAGCTCCCAACAAAAAAAAAATAACATTATTATTATTATCTTACATTGGAATACATATAAAAACATATCTTCATCATGTTAAAAGTAGTAATCCATTTGAATGTATTTTCATGCATGTAAAGTACACTATTCAGTGAATCCATTTCAAAGGATCTGCCCCCTGGTGGTGAAAATAGTTACATGACACCTGTAAGTTTTATCACTCAAACTTCCAGACTTGCCTGGCTGTGATGTTGACCTTAGACTTCCTCCCTGATCTCCCTCAGGTCCTCCACCCATGAACGGCCATGACGAGCAGCTCTCGTCGGCCTCCATCTTTGAGCATGTGGACCGCATGTCGCGCTCGGCCGACGGCACCCGCCACTTGTCCAATAAGATCCAGCTGATCGCCATGCAGCCCATGGCCTTCCCAGCCCAGCACCACGGCGCCACTGTCAACGGTAACAACGGCAGAGGGCAAGAGACACACAACATCTTCAACAAGGAGGTGAGACCCTCTAGGACCCACTAACACCCTTCCTCAGACACGTATTCAGGTTACAGTAATGTCATTCATTACCTTACATGGGGAGCATGGTATGAACAGTAGACTCTAATGTGAGTGTCTCTGATCCTCTCTAGTCTCCCCACTGTCTGGACATCCACAAGGGTTCTTCGGCTGTCTCCATAGGAGAACCCTTTTTGGTTCCAGGTAGAACACTTTTTGGTTCCAGGTAGAACCCTTTTGGGTTCCATGTAGTTCTACATGGAACCCAAAAGGACTTTGAACTTTGTAGTTCTACATGGAACCCAAAAGGGTTATACCTGGAACCAAAAGGGCTTCTTCAAAGGGTTCTCCAATGGCAGGGGTGTCAAACTCATTCCACTGAGGGCCGAGTGTCTGCAGGTTTTTGTTTTTTCCTTTCAATTAAGACCTAGACAACCAGGTGAGGGGAGTTCCTTACTAATTAGTGACCTTAATTCATTGATCAAGTACAAGGGAGGAGCAAAAACCCACAGACACTCGGCCCTCCGTGGAATGAGTTTGACGCTCGTGTCCTATGAGGACAGCCGAAGAACCCTTTAAGGTTCTAGATTGCACCTTTTTCTCTAAGAGTGTACAGACAAAAGAGATGTTATCTCAGTCAGACTAACCTGTATAAATCAAGGTCAAATGAAGTATTCAGTATATATAGTAAAGCTGCATCTGGCCAAGTGTGTCACTGCAGTCATATCTGACTGTTATTATTAAGATCCAGGTGGCGTTGAGGCACAAGTCTGAGATCGAGCACCACCGTAATAAGATCCGTCTGCGGGCCAAGAGGAAGGGTCACTATGACTTCCCTGCCATGGACGACCTGGTGGACAACGGTCTGACCACTGACCCCAAGGACCAGGACCGTATCTACCACAAGGCCCAGATGCAGATCGACAAGATCCTGGACCCCGACATCCACATACCCTCGCTGTTCATGGAGCCTAAAAAGAGGTCAGGGGTTATTTGGGGTTGGGGAGGGGTAGGGTGCACACAGGGAGGGGGTGTGTATGCGTGCGTGTGCAGTAAATGTACCTGAGGGAACTGCAGTATGTCTGTATGTTTCTCATTATAAAAGACACCGCTATTCAGAACTTTTTCTCAAGGGAATGTCATCTAGCTATTTTTCACTGATGACTGACTGAGAAAATTCCTCTTTGGAGCTGTACGCCATCCAGAAACGTCTAGACTAATTTGTTTTGTTTTGATAACTTTGAACTTTGGAGAAACTTTCAGGGTGTTTTTTTCAATTGTTCTGCATTGCATGCTTTTTGCAGTCACAATGAGGAGAAATCTCCTACCGGTATGAGACTATTTTGGACAGTGGAAAAGTATAACGAGTTTTTAAAATACGCCTTCAGTTTGCCAACATTTTAGAGAGAAAGATAAAGATATCTCAGTTGAATAATCAGTCACGTTTGATGTCTATTCAGATTGCCGGGCCTCCATTCCATTCCAAACGACCAGTAGATAAGAGTCCAGGCCTAAACGTTTTGATTCTGTCTCTGCGTCGGAAATGTATAGCACACTACTTTTGAGTGCAGGTAAAAAGTAGTGCACTATATAGGGAATAAGAGTGCCATTTTTAGACCAAATTGGTCAAAAGTAGTGAACTATAGGGAATATGGTGCCATTTCAGTGTTTGGCAATGTGTGTTTTCCCTTCCATAATAATGTATGTGCTGCTACTCTGTATTGACATGTGTCTCTCTCTCAGTGGCAGGGGGAAGCGTTCTCCCAAGCAGAAGAAGAAGCACCAGCTGAACGGCAGCCTGACAGACGCAGACAAGGACCGCCTCATCTCCAACGACAGTGATGGCACCTACAGGAAATACCCTGGCGTCAACAACGTGGCCTATGTGGTGGGTAGACCTGTCGAACATATTGCAATAACACACACAAACACAAACACAAATCAATATTCCAATAGAAATCTCAAACATAGAGAGTAAAAGGGTACTTTAAAAGTCAATATCATGTTGTTAACGGAGAGGGGACAGATGTAACGTACATAAAACATTTATGTTCCTTTTTGCATTGTTACAAAGCATAAAACAGAATCACATTTTTGCGATTCTTTCTTTCCAACTGCAAACTGATCTGAATGAAGTCATAATGTGTATAATGGCTTTGGCTAATGACCATCTTTCTCCGCCCCTCTTCACGTTAGTACCACATTAGTAAAATCTAGTCTCTTATTGTTTCCAGTCGGACCCTGACCAGGCCCCAGAGTCCGGGAACCCCTCCCCCAACGACGACGTCTTCCTGGGCCCCATCTCGCCCCCTCCGGGGCATGCCCCTCCCCCTCCCCCCTACATGCCCCCCCAGCCCTCCATTGAGGAGGCCCGGCAGCAGATGCACTCTCTGCTGGACGATGCCTTTGCCCTGGTCTCCCCCACCTCCCAGGGCAGCACGGCCGGCCTCACCCTACCTGGTGTCAACTCCAACCTCCCCAGCTCCAGCCCCCCACCCCGCGGTGGAGCCCGCCCCTGGGGCTCGTCTTACCCAGCACTCAGCCCCTTCTCCTCGGTGAGTCTGTATGGCCTCCCCTGCACAGATCTATTAACACCTCTGGTCCTACTGACAGCTCTCCTGCTCGGTCCTTGTCCTGCTACAGACGAGTGCAATTGACACCAAAGTGTTTCTTGTAAGTTCGAGGTTTTGTGGGATTTCACAGGCTTTCGTAAGCTTGAGGTGTGGCAGTGTACCGTTTTACTAATGTAATATGGATAACTGTTACATACTTCATAATAGACACTTTATGCTCACTATCTTTCCTCTTTTACCTAGCCACTCTCAGGTTTACACTGTCACATAGACTCTCCACACAGACACACTGTATTTACAACATGTTCAGTTAAGGTTTAATTAGGTCTTCTTAGTTACTAATCTGTTAAGGAAGTCTCCATCTGTGTCCCCTACCAACCCCCGTGACCCCACTCAGCTCTACATTACTACAGCACATAAGACTTTCATACAGCTATAGGCTACTACAGTACATTAAATGAGCCATAAGCCTGCTAAGTAATACTATAGCTACATATGTTCCTAGCAAACTCCTAAGTCATAGGACATATGAGCTGCACAGCCCTACCATATGAGACGTAAGCCTGCTGGTGGTTTGGTCATTTGCCATAAGGTACAACAAAACACTTGTCATTTACACTACAGTACAGTCCTCTGTTTAACATGCAATGCAGCAACCCTTTGACTGTGCTTAACAAAAAGGACTAGTTTGTTATTGCCCTCAAGGCAGTACCATACTAATTCATTAAACGATAAACTCTGAATTGTTGGGTATTATGGGGAAATATAAGATACTGCATTGTGTTATATGGGGTTATATGAGATTACTGCTTTAGCATGGGTTCCGATTAGATGAACACTGATTATATTAGGAAGATTTACAATATAATATACATTAAAATGTGAGGAAGGAGCTGTTTATCATGAATTATATATATTAATCTGGGAGTTTCCAGTCCAGATGCAACCGCTTCAAACAAATGCCAACACTATATTTATAATGCAATAGTAGTGGATATGCCAGTGCTTTAAATGTACACTACATTCCTTTCTTAAATAGAAAACCTTCTGCTGTTTAAAGTTTATTTTAGGGCATTTGAGGCAAGACCAGACCAAATATGTTACAGGATAAATTTGATAAGAGCAAATAAAGGCTAGTCTCTTCAGCTGTTCTAAATGAATATGTTCTTTGACCTTTCCTATTTTGTTTTATAAAGTTCACTCCCAGTCATTTTAAATTCATACAGACATCTTAGTAGAGTAATAGCTCTGTTGTCTAAAACCAGCCCAATAAAGCCAGTCAGCTACCTCAGGTGTAGAGAGAGCTCTACATTCATCTGTGGTCCCATAAAAGCCATTCTCACTGCTTGTTCTGGTTCAGTGCATTCATGTGCTCTGAAAGGTCACGTTGTTAGAGCAGGAAAACAACATCCATAGCCCATAGGCTATTTCTCCAATTTCCCCTGCAAAACACCAAAGCTTAGTGTGCTGTACAATGTTAGACTCTCAGCCAAAATGTATCATGGTGTAATGTAAAATTCAGTCAACAGAAATAGCAATATTAGGCGCCAGCTTTTTATGTGGAAAGTGCTTTATCTATAATAATAATAATAATAATATGCCATTTAGCAGACGCTTTTATCCAAAGCGACTTACAGTCATATCTAGATACAGTGAGGGAAAAAAGTATTTGATCCCCTGCTGATTTTGTACGTTTGCCCACTGACAAAGAAATGATCAGTCTATAATTTGAATGGTAGGTTTATTTGAACAGTGAGAGACAGAATAGCAACAAAAAAATCCAGAAAAACACATGTCAAAAATGTTATGAATTGATTTGCATTTTAATGAGGGAAATAAGTATTTGACCCACTCTCAATCAGAAAGATTTCTGGCTCCCAGGTGTCTTTTATACAGGTAACAAGCTGAGATTAGGAGTACACTCTTAAAGGGAGTGCTCCTAATCTCAGTTTGTTACCTGTATAAAAGACACCTGTCCACAGAAGCAATCAATCAATCAGATTCCAAACTCTCCACCATGGCCAAGACCAAAGAGCTCTCCAAGGATGTCAGGGACAAGATTGTTGACCTACACAAGGCTGGAATGGGCTACAAGACCATCGCCAAGCAGCTTGGTGAGAAGGTGACAACAGTTGGTGCGATTATTCGCAAATGGAAGAAACACAAAAGAACTGTCAATCTCCCTCGGCCTGGGGCTCCATGCAAGATCTCACCTCGTGGAGTTGCAATGATCATGAGAACGGTGAGGAATCAGCCCAGAACTACACGGGAGGATCTTGTCAATGATCTCAAGACAGCTGTGACCATAGTCACCAAGAAAACAATTGGTAACACACTACGCCATGAAGGACTGAAATCCTGCAGCGCCCGCAAGGTCCCCCTGTTCAAGAAAGCACATATACATGCCCGTCTGAAGTTTGCCAATGAACATCTGAATGATTCAGAGGAGAACTGAGTGAAAGTGTTGTCGTCAGATGAGACCAAAATGGAGCTCTTTGGCATCAACTCAACTCGCCGTTTTTGGAGGAGGAGGAATGCTGCCTATGACCCCAAGAACACCATCCCCACCGTCAAACATGGAGGTGGAAACATTATCCTTTGGGGGTGTTTTTCTGCTAAGGGGACAGGACAACTTCACAGCATCAAAGGGACGAAGGACAGGGCCATGTACAGTCAAATCTTGGGTGAGAACCTCTTTCCCTCAGCCAGGGCATTGAAAACACACGGCCAAGGCAACAAAGGAGTGGCTCAAGAAGAAGCACATTAAGGTCCTGGAGTGGCCTAGCCAGTCTCCAGACCTTAATCCCATAGAAAATCTTTGGAGGGAGCTGAAGGTTCGAGTTGCCAAACGTCAGCCTCGAAACCTTAATGACTTGGAGAAGATCTCCAAAGAGGAGTGGGACAAAATCCCTCCTGAGATGTGCGCAAACCTGGTGGCCAACTACAAGAAACGTCTGACCTCTATGATTGCCAACACGGGTTTTGCCACCAAGTACTATGTCATGTTTTGCAGAGGGGTCAAATACTTATTTCCCTCATTAAAATGCAAATCAATTTATAACATTTTTGACATGCATTTTTCTGGATTTTGTTGTTGTTATTCTGTCTCTCACTGTTCAAATAAACCTACCATTAAAATGATAGACTGATCATGTCTTTGTCAGTGGGCAAACGTACAAAATCAAATACTTTTTTCCCTCACTTTATATACTGTGTTATTGGGTGATATCTGTTTTGATTGTACATGATCTGCAAGCTTCAGTGAGGTCCCTGTAGTCTTTACTTATCCATCCCAGTGTCTGTGTGTCTTTGTCCTGACAAAATGCATGTCTCTCTCCTCAGAGATACGCTGAGTTAGGAATGCCCCCTCCTTCAGTCCAAGGCTTACTACAGAGGTGAGTAGCTAACCATAGTGATACAATACAATGCATTGTGTGATATAATGTAATAGTACGTGTAGCTAGCTAACTCTGAGAGAATAGGGAGAGCATTTTCAGTGTTGTCATGGTTTTCCCCACGACTGTAGGCTACATTACATTTACATTTTAGTCATTTAGCAGACGCTCTTATCCAGAGCGACTTACAGGAGCAATTAGGGTTAAGTGCCTTGCTCAAGGGCACGTCGACAGATTTTTCACCTTGTCGGCTCTGGGATCTGGATCATCTTTAATGCAGTGTTTTCCAACTCTGGTCCTCCAGTACCCTCTACAGTACACATTTATGTTGTAGCCCTGGACAAAAACACCTGATTCAACTTGTCAAGGGCTTGATGATTAGTTGACAAGTAGAATCAGCTGTGCTTGTCTGGGGCCACAACAAAAAGATGTACTGTTGGGGTACTGGAGGACCTGAGTTAGGGACCACTGGATCCAGTCTCCTAACTGCGCAATACAAAACAGACATGGTGGCGATTGCTTTGGTCGATCTTCTTTTGATTTACACACAAACATACACACACATACATAGATGTAGATACACACACATACACACACACACACACACACACACACACATAGATGTAGATACACACACACACACACATAGATGTAGATACACACACACACACACACATAGATGTAGATACACACGCACACACACTGAAACAATGACCAACGTCTACAGCTGATGCACATCATAGAAGCTATGATGTTTTACAGTAGGACCTCTATTTGACATTTGTACTGTATTTCAGACAGGGCCAGGGCTCCAGCTACCTGCCACCAGGTGACCCAGGACACGTTGACCAGCTCCCCCCAGACAGCCACTATTCCACCAGGGGCCTGTACACTGAAGACCTCCCCTTCTCTGCCAGGCCACGACCAGTAGGGGGCACCACAGGTACACACGCCCACACACACACACACACACACACACACACACACACACACACACACACACACACACACACACACACACACACACACACACACACACACACACACAGACACACACACACACATACACACACAGCTCAACAGTCACTGGATGTATGCCAGTTTGTCTAACCCAGACAACTCACCTCTCTCCCATGAACCTGTCAGCCTCAAAGAGCCTGGTCTCTATTGAATTATTAAAGAGTGGGGTTCTTGGTGTGCTGTGAGAGTTACACTAATATAAATGGACTCTGCCTTATGGAGTGCTGCTGCTGCACAGAGAATGCATTTCAACTGTAGGAATTGCATCAAAGTATATTACAGACCAGTAAGGATTAAATGTCAGAGATGCCTGAGGGTTGAAATGTATGTTTTTGCGTCCGTGTGTGTGTGTGTGTGTGTGTGTGTGTGTGTGTGTGTGTGTGTGCATACGTGCATCTGTATGTAGGTGCCCAGTTCCATCACCTGACCCAGATGGGTCTTGGGAGCCGGGTCAACGGGGGATACCCGGCGGGGGGTAGGGCCCCTCCAGGTCAGACTGGCGGTTCAGGGTGGGGACCGTACGCTGACGATGACTTCAGACCCACCAGAGACCCTGTGAGTCCTGCTCTGACCTCACACCGCCTTATGAGACTTACTGTACCTCTGCTTTTAATCCTTTCCTCTTCCAGCTAGCTTCTCTAGATCTCCAAATATACAGTACAAGGGCATGCTCTTGTTCTTCTAGACTCTATGTTGCTGCATATCAGTTTGAGTTCTGTAGTTATGGATGTTGGTTCACTGTACAGATGAAGAATCTTAATTTGATTACCCTGTTGCAGGAGAACTTGCCTGCATCGCAGGAAATGTAAAACGTGTAGTGTATTTGAGGTTTAAAAAGGCTTCTGAAGTTTGTAATTTTCACTTTGAAATGTCAGACGAAAAATGTATCAACCCAAACATTTTATTTTCATGAATTATAATCCACATAATATTTCACATTTCCTGTTGCTGCAGAATACTTTCCTGCTGTAGAAAACTGGCGCAAATTAAGATCCTGCATCTGTAGTCCTTTTACCTCCCAGCTGTCAATCTGTAGAGATGAACGTTCCCATGATATATTGAGAACTGTAGTGAAATAGGCAATGTAAAAACACACACTCTCCTCTTTTCTCCTAAAACGTATTTATCTTCTCTTTTTCCTCTTCTTCTTTCCTTCCTTCCCTGTGTGCGTCAGGTTCTTCTGGGCTACCCTGACTCCTCCTCCTCTATGTTCCAGATGCCTAGTAGAAGTGCACTAAGGGAGCCCTCTGCCACCCTGGCCCACCTGGACACCCACACCACCGGGTTCGGCTACCCTCCAGAGGAGTCCTCCTCTCCGCCCAACCACTCATCTGCTTCCCTTATCAAGGCCATCAGGGAGGAGCTGCTGCGCCTCTCCCAGAAACAGCAAGCCGTGCCCAGCTACCACAGCTGATCACAGACAGCCGCCAGAGTTATTCTGACTCTTAACCTCTAATACTACATCCACCAGTCATACCACTGCCCCTGCCTGCCTGCTCCAACCTATCAATGCTTCCCATGGAAGTTCCGTTGTACAGGAGGATAAATACAAGACTGTACTGTCTTGGGGCGGCAGGTAGCCTAGTGGTTAGAGCATTGGGCCAGTAACCGAAAGGTTGCTGGTTCGAATACCTGAGCCAACAAGGTGAAAAATCTGTCGATGTGCCCTTGAGCAAGGCACTTTGCCCTCATTTGCTCCAGGGGCGCCGTACTAAAATGGCTGACCCTGTAAAACAACACATTTCACTACACCTATCTGCTGGGCTGGGTAGAATGAGGAGGTTGTTTCATATATGCCAGCTGGTAGCCTAAGCATGGATAGAGTCATTATATTAATTAACTGGATCTTAGCCTCTGGCTTTCTTAACTCAGACTGTCCTATGGCATACACTATACTGGACCAAGTGACCCTAGTGGTTAGAGAGAGAAGGTGAATGGTCCCCTGCTCTCCAGCGTTGGCCAAGGTATCTCTGCCAAAGCCTGGCCACGACTGCTGATCCCTGCCCAGTTTTCTATTTGAGGTGTTGTTGCTTTCTTTCTTTTTAAACAGCATTCTAGACTCTCTGTGTGATGATAATAATGTGGTTTGATTCTCTCTCTCATCCTGCCTTGACATCCTAACAACATTTTACAGTACAGTGGAATTTCTCTACCAGTAGGACATCTGTTATTTAGGCTCAAAACATTGATACCATGTTACCTTTAACAATGAGGCTTCTTACCATTACCATGCAGGTATTGTTTGGTTTTTGAAGAGCTTCTTACTTCTCCTCCATCTTCCCCTGGTGCTTCTTTCTACACTTTGTGTTTTCCGCCATGATATTGATATGCGCAAATCTGTAAAAACACGTCCCAGGTGCAGGATTAAGTTGTTCTACATTGTTTTCCGCCATGAGCCACACAATGCCTTGTGTTGTGACAGCGTGAGTGAGTTCAACTGTCTCAATCTACTGTACAGCTAAGGTCAGAGTTCAGAGCAGACAACACTAGACACAGACAGACAGAGACCTGCAATAATCATACTGCAGCAACTCCCATGCATAACTTTACCAATGCAGTAGTTGAACCAGAGATATTTAATGATAGAGCGCTGTTAGGTTTAGTTTGTAACTCACCCCCCTATACATGAGCCTTGTTTTGATTTTGTTATCAACAGCTTCAGCACAATGTCCACATGTTTGTCCTAATATATCCAGGTTACTGATGATGCTACCGTATTAAGACTCTTTAAATGCCAATGTATGGTAAACTACACGGAACAAAATATAGACGCAACATGCAACAATTTCAAAGATTTTACTGAGTTACAGTTCATTTAAGGATATCAGTCAATCGAAATAAATTCATTAGGACCTAATCTATGGATTTCACATGACTGGGAGTACAGATATGCATCTGTACTCCCAGTCACAGAGACAGTACCTTAAAAAAAAAGCTAGGGGCATGGATCAGAAAACCAGTCAGTATCTGGTGTGACCACCATTTGCCTCATGAGGTGCGACACATCTCCTTTGCATGGAGTTGATCTGGCTGTTGATTGTGGCCTGTGGAATGTTGTCCCACTCCTCTTCAATGGCAGTGCGAAGTTGCTGGATATTGGCGGGAACTGGAACAAACTGTCGGACACGTCGATCCAGAGCATCCCAAACATGCTCAATGGGTGACGTGTCTGGTGAGTATGCAGGCCATGGAAGAACTGGGACATTTTAATCTTCCAGGAATTGTGTACAGATCCTTGTGACATGGGGCCGTGCATCATTATGCTGAAACATGAGGTGATGATGGCGGATGAATGGCACGACAATGGGCCTCAGGATCTCGTCACGGTATCTCTGTGCATTCAAATTGCCATCACTAAAATGCAATTGTGTCGTTGTCCGTAGCTTATGCCTACCCATACCATAACCCCACCGCCACCATGGGGCACTCTGTTCACAACGTTGACATCAGCAAACCGCTGGCTCACACGACGCAATACACACTGTCTGCCATCTGCCTAGTACAGTTGAAAGCGGGATTCATCCCTAAAGAGCACACTTCTCCAGCGTGAGCATTTGCCCACTGAAGTCGGTTACGACGCTGAACTGCAGTCAGGTCAAGACCCTGGTGAGGACGACAAGCACGCAGATGAGCTTCCCTGAGACGGTTTCTGACAGTTTGTGCAGAAATTATTTGGTTGTGCAAACTCAAAGTTTATTCAGCTGTCCGGTGGCTGGTCACAGACAATCCCGCTGGTGAAGAAGCCGGATGTGGAGGTCCTGGGCTGGCTTGGTTACAAGTGGTCTGCGGTTGTGAGGCTGGTTGGACGTACTGCCAAATTCTCTAAAACAACATTGGAGGCGGCTTATGGTAGAGAAATGAACATTCAAATCTCTGGCAACTGCTCTGGGGGACATTCCTTCAGTCAGCATGCCAATTGCACACCTCAAAACTTGAGACATCTGTGGCATTGTGTTGTGTGACGAAACTGCACATTGTAGAGTGGCCTTTTATTGTACCAAGCACAAGGTGCTGTTTAATCAGCTTATTGATATTCTACATCTGTCAGGTGGATGGATTATCTTGGCAAAGGAGAAATGCTCACTAACAGGGATGTAAACAAATTTGTGCACAACTTTTGAGAGAAATACGCTTTTTGTGTGTATGGAAATATTTTATTTCAGCTCATGAAACATGGGACCAACACTTTACATGTTGCGTTTATATTTTTGTTCAGTATATACAGTATGACCACAGTATTATAGTTTTTCTATAGATATTATACTAAGGTCATGTATTGAGCTTACAGGACCAAATATCTATAATAATTAATTTATGAATTAATTTGTGGCATTTTATAATGTTTTCTGACTGGCAGGCCTAAATCTAAATGATTGACAGTACTGTACTAGGGGATTGTCTATTCTATTTTATGAAGTGGATAGATTCGACCACGCATTCTGATCTATTCAATGCACTGTATGCACACTACTGGGTGCACCTTGGCTTTTCACAGTGAATATCCTTCAGGTCACACCAACTAAAATGTAGTTGAAAGATTCATAGGTCATTCAGTTAAAGATTCATAGGTCAGTTCAATGAAGCATTGTTTTGCTAAAGGAAATGCAGTATTTTGCCTGCTGAGAAACAGGGCCAGTGGTCACACACTGTCAGTCTAGGGGTATTCGTATTTCATTTCCTCCTTTTTCAATGCAGTATTGAAAGGTTCAACGCTGTTCATTTTCCACCGCATTTTCAGAGTTTGAAAGGAATTGTAATTGTTCACAGTTTACTGTTCACAGTTAACCTGTCAGCGTAAGATGTTTTGTGTATTTTATGTAATTTTTATTGTTGAATGACCTTGCCTCATGTTTTTTGTTCCTCCTCGATGTGTCTTTGTTCAATTTTTTATTTATTTAATTTTGTTCAATAACATTCTCGACAGAAACTCCCTACACATTGCAATGCTGTGGGGATTTAAGTGATATTTTATTTAAATGAAATAAAAGAGAAAGTATTGATTTTGGTTGTAGGGTTATTCACTGACTTGGGCGAAGTAATAATTTAGCAGTGTTGAACATTGTCCCAAATATGTCCCAAAGGTTAACTCCATAACACAAAAGCAAACAGAGAAAATATGGAACCAAAGCTACTGTGCTGTACACACACTACTATTCCACTGAGCACACACTGGTTGAATCAACATATTTTCCACGTCATTTCAATGAAATTACGTTGAACCAACATGGAATAGATGTTGAATTGACGTCTGTGCCCAGTGGGATCGCTCCTCATGGCCAACATGTGCCTTATGGATCCTCCCTTTGGTGGTCTCACACTGTCTACCATCCTGTCTCACACTACCTGCTTGCCTGTCTGTCTGTCTGTCAGATAGAGTCTTAACCAGGCTCTGTTAACTCCAACAAGCACTGACTGTATGGGATCATAGTACAGTACCGTATGGCATTTTATAACTACTGTAGTCTCAAGGTTGTTAAAGGATATTCTCTCAACAATGGTTCTATAGGTCTTAGCAGGTGGTGCTACAGTATGTGTTGTAGCATCATCAAAGAAGCCCAGTGCTTATTTAACACTGTTTCTGGATATAGTCTAAGATTTACACCCATGCAGTTGGATTATAAACTGAGTTACCTGAAGTGATTTCACCCCTGGTTGGTGTGATTGGCTTCATTCACAACACTGTACTGTCCTATATGCCTCCACCTGATGGTACTGTAACCCCAATGCACATCAGATATCATTCATGTATGTGCCCTTTATGTTTGACTGTTGCGTCTTGTTTTATTGTGAAGGTCATACTTTATGTTGGCTGGCCCAACTATGTTTTACGTGTTGTATTTGTTGAGTTGCATGTGTCATTCATGTAAGGCTGTGTGTAGTTTGTTTCCCATTTTGTGTTGCCCATGCTGTTCCGAAAAAACGATAGCTTTTAAAAACCAATGAAACCTAAGTTGCATGTGTCCTAAGTTATTTAATACTGTAATATTCTAACACCATGCATATTACATGCAACAATGATTAGGAAGCAGAACATATTGCATTCTCACATAATAATAATAATATGCCATTTAGCAGACGCTTTTATCCAAAGCGACTTACAGTCATGCGTGCATACATTTTTGTGTATGGGTGGTCCTGGGGATCGAACCCACTACCCTGCCGTTACAAGCGCTGTGCTCTACCAGCTGAGCTACAGAGGACCACCCATATCTGCTTATCGTTGTAATTTTTGGTCCCTTGAAAGTAGTTTGTTAAATGATCATTATGTATTTTGCAGAGCACACCATTTCTCTGTGTATGCAGTTTATTTGTTAATACAGTGTTCTTAGCAATGCTGTTTTCTCCAGGGGAGGTCCATCACATTTTGTTCTTCATAGGCTTCTACAGTAGTCTGAAGATGAGAAGTACCAG